TCAACCATATTGGAAACAATATTTAAAATTTTACATTGTGTAGAGGTAAAACATTATAAATATATAAAAAATATAACACGAAGTTTAGCGCTTTGAAATTTTTTTTTTTAAAAAAAACTAAATAAATTAATGAAAGAATAAATAATGTTATATCATTACGAATTGTGTAACAAATGTGGTGAAGATTATGTAAATGACACATACTATGGTATTCGTATAATTGAAAGATGGTGGTGTAGATCATGTCTAATAAATAATTTAAAGAATAACTTTACAAAATGGACAAGTGGCAATAAAGAAATTGATGATTTCATTCAAAAACAGCAATTAAATTTTAAATATTCTCATAATCTAATAATTGAATGGATACCATATAATCAATTTATTTATGTTAAAAAATTAGAAAAAAATGTTGATAATGCTGTTACTATATATTCAGCATTATGGAATAATGGTTCATTACATTATGATATTAGTCAAGAGGAATTAACAAGAAAACCTAATATAAAAGTTGTATTAAAATGTTTAAACAACTCTCGAAATATAATTGATGAAATTCTAATTAAGGTATGAAGTATTATTTATATGTTTAATTCAAATAATTTAATATACATAATAAACTTTTTTATATTTAATAGAATATAACATATTATATGTATGGGATATCTCAACACCCGGATACAAAAGATTACATCATTGTTTTACAAGATATATATTGTGAAAAATGTACAAGAGTATATAATAAATGGTGTAAGCCATGTTACAGAAATTATTTTATAAATGAATTTAAAAACTGGACCAGTGGAAATGAAATAATTGATGATATCATTAAAAAAGTACAATTGAAAATTATACCTAATGATATAGTAGTTGAATGGATACCTTTTAATCAATTTATCAATATTAAAGAAATAGAAAAAGTTGATGACAATACTACTATATATTCAGCAATTTGGAATAATGGCCCATTGTATTATAATACCAATATAAAGGAATGGATAAGAAATCCTAATATAAAAGTTGCATTAAAATGTTTTAATGATTCACAAGATATTATTGATGAATTACTTAGTAAGGTATGAGAATTATTTGTAAATTTAACTTAAATGTTTAATATAATAACTTTATTTATATTTAATAGGCTGAAAAATATAAAAAATCCTGTACTAGATTAAGTAGATTACATGAATTATATGGAATATCACAAAACCCAGATACAGAAAAATATATCATTGTTCAAGATAAATATTGTGGAAAATGTGGTGAAAAATATACAAATGAATGTATTAAATGGTGTAGACCATGTCACATAAATTATTTTGAAAATGTGTGGACCAGTGGAAATGAAATAATTGATGATATCATTTTAAAAATGCAATTAGAAAATAGTTATTATAAAATAGTTGAATGGATACCATTTAATCAATTTATTAATATTAAAGAAATGGTAAAAGTTAATGATAAAACTATATATTCAGCATTGTGGAGTAACGGCTTATTATATTATAATAAATATAAAAAGAAATGGATGAGAGATCCTAATTTAAAAGTCACAATAAAATGTTTTAACAATTCACAAAATATTATTGATGTATTACTTGATAAGGTATGGATTATTTACAAATTTAACTCAAGTACTTTAAATAAATAACTTTATTTATATTTAATAGGGTAAAAATTACAAAATTTATGGAATATCTCAAAACCCAAATACAAAAGAATACATTATTGTTTTAGAAAATCGATTATATGAAAATGTATTGTGTCAGACATATCACAAAAATTATTTAAAAAATAATTTTACAAAATGGACAAGTGGAAATGAAAAAATTGATATTTTTATTCAAAAATTACAATTAACAGTTGATAAAAATGATAGAAATATATGTGAGTGGATACCATACAATCAGTTTGTTAATATTAAAGAAATTGAAAAAAATGATTTACTTACAATACATTCAGCTATATGGAATGATAGTCCATTTTATTATAATTCTATTAAAGAGGAAATAATAAGAAAACCTAAAAAAGTTACATATACTACATTAAATAAATCACAAAATATGATTGATGATTTTCTTAATAAGGTATAAAAATCATTTTAAGTTTGATTCAAATTCTTTTCTTTTATTATAATAATTTATTTACATTAAACAGGTTAAAGATATACTGATGATTAACAATCGTGAAGTATATGATAGATCCTCTATTTTTTGTAAGTATTGTTCTTTAATGTGTGGAATATCTCAAAATCCAGATACAGGAAATTATATCATAGTTTCACAGGATGAATATTGTGAAAAATGCAGTAAGCAATATACAAACATACATAATAAATGGTGTTTATGTCAAACAAATTGGAGTGGAAATAAAGAAATTGATGATTTAATTCAAGAAATACAATTAAAAAAAAATTATTATAATAAAGCTGAATGGATACCATACAATCAGTTTATTAATATTAAAGAAATTGCAAAAGATAATAACAATGCTACTATTATATATTCAGCAATATGGAAGAATGGTCCATTATCATACATTAATAATTAATGGATAAGAAACTCTTATTATACAAGTGTTATATTAAAATATTTGGATATTAATGAATTTACCAGCAAGGTATGACAGTTATTTATAAGTTTAATTTAAATAATTTTAAATAATAGACATTTATACTTATTAATATATATAGGATAATTATCACAACATATATGGAATATCTCAAAATCCAGATGCCAAAGAATATATCATGGTTTTATCAAATTATAAATATTGTGAAAAATGTGGTGAATGGTATACAGATCAAAATGATATTTATAAATGGTGTAAGCCATGTTGCATAAATTATTTTAACAATGAGTTTAAAAACTGGACCAGTGGAAATGAAATGATTGATAATTTTATTTTAGGAATGCAATTAAAAATCAATAATCGTAAGGATAAAATAGTTGAGTGGATACCATACAATCAATTTATTAACATCAAAGAAATAGCAAAAAATAATAATAATGCTACCATTATATATTCAGCAATATGGATAAATGGTCCATTAAAATTTGATTTTATTTATAAATCATATAAAAGAAAATGTTATAAAAGAGTTATATTAAGCTGCTTAACATTAGATATCAATGAATTTTCCAATAAGGTATGGAATTTTTTACATACTAACTTAAACATTTTATTTCAAATAATCATTTATTTATATTTATAGATTAATAATTATAAAGGTATATATGGAATATCACAAAATCCAGATACAAAAAATTATTTTATAGTTTTAAATAATATCCCATGGTTAATTTTACAAAATAATTTTACAAATTTAAGTGGAAATAAAATAATTGATGATTTTATTCAAGAAATGCAATTAAAAATTAATAATTGGACTCATATAATAGTTGAATGGATACCACATACTGATATTACAAAAATTGAGAAAATTGTTAATAATGCATATTCAGCTATATGGAAAAATGGTCCACTATATTATAGATATGATAAAAAGGAATGGATAAGACATTCTAATAAAAAAGTTATATTAAATTCCTTAGCATCAGATATTAAGAAATTTCTTAATAAGGTATAAAAATTATTTGTAAATTTAATAACTTAAATATTCAAAGAAAATAACTAACTTATTTGTAATTTATTAGGCTAAAAAATATAATAGTATATATGGAATAACTCAAAATCCATATACAAATGATTATATTTTAGTTCTTCAAAATAGGAATTGTAAAAAATGTGGTAAACCATATAGTGATTTAAAAAATAAATGGTGTGAGTTATGTGAAATAAATTATATACGAAATAATTTTGCAAATTGGAGTGGAAATGAAAAAATTGATAATTTTATTCAAGAAAAGCAAATAAAGATAAATGTTTTTAATGATATAGTAGTTGAATGGATACCATACAATCAGTTTATTAATATTGAAAAAATTGAAAAAGTTGGTGATAATATTACTATTATCTATTCAGCAATATGGAAGAATGGTCCATTATATTATGAAAAAAATAGAAAGGAATGGATAAGGAATTCTTATGAAGAAGTTGTATTAAAATGCTTAACATTAGATATCAATGAATTTTTTATTGAGGTATGAAAGTTATTTACATCTAGCTTAAATATTTTACTTTAAATAATAATTTTATTTATATTTAATAGGCTAACAATTATAATGATATATACGGAATGTCTCAAAATCCAAATACAAACAATTATATTTTAGTTTTTCAAAATAATCAGTGTTGTAATAGATGTTACAAACTATATAGTACTGATATGACTGGTTTAGGAGGGAAATGTTGTAATTCATGCCAAATAAATTATATACATAATAATTTGACAAATTGGAGTGAAAACCAAAAAATTAATGATTTTGTTCGAGAAATGCATTTGAAAATTAATAATTATGAAGATATAATATTTGAATGGATACCATACAATCAGTTTGATTATATTGAAGTAATTGGTAAAGGTGGTTTCGCTACAATATATTCAGCAATATGGAAGGATGGTCCATTAAAATGTAATTATGATAAGATATATAAAAGAGATGTTAATTATAAAGAGGTTGCATTAAAAAGTATAGATAAATCACATAATAAAATTAATGAATTTTTAAATGAGGTATGAAATTTTTAAATTTTAAAATAATTATTTAATATATTGATTTTTTTTTTATGTTTATATAGGTAAAAGCATATTCAATTAAATGTAATATTTATAATAGTATTCTTAAAATATATGGAATATCTCAAAATCCTATTACAAAAAATTATATTATAGTTCTTCAATATGCAAAATATGGAAGTATTAATAATTGGATGCATTATTTCTATAAAGATTTTGATTGTCATGTTAAATATGAATTACTTTCAAATATATATAGTGGTCTTATAAAAATTCATGAAAACCAGATGGTTCATCGTGATTTTCATATAGGAAATATTTTAGTTAGTAATGATAAGTATATTGGAACTATTCCTTTAGGTATATATATTTCAGATATGGGATTATGTGGAGAAGTTGGTAATAAAAATGAAACAAAAATTTATGGAGTTATGCCTTATGTAGCTCCTGAAGTATTAAGAGGCAAGCCTTATACTCAAGCAGCAGATATATATAGTTTTGGTATGGTTATGTATTATATTATAACTGGAAGACAACCTTTTGAAAATCGTACACATGATAGTTTATTAGCATTAGATATATGTAATGGAATTAGACCTGAAGTACCTGAAATACCTGAATTGAAATCAAATCGGTATATTAATCTAATGAAAAAATGTTGGGATTCAAATCCAGATAATAGACCAAATGTTTTTTCAATAAGTATATATTGTTTGACAGATGAAATTGAAAAAGCAGAAAAATATCTACTTAGAGAATATAAGGAAAGCAGCCAATTAACTATTACTCATTCACAAGCTATTTACACATCTCGGTTACTTAATCCTTATACAGAAGGACTTGCATTTGATTTTACAGAGTAAATTATATACACTTAAATCTTTTTATTTTCAACTTTCTATTAATAAGAAACTTGTTAAAATTTTAAAATATCAATAGAGAAAAATGGAATTACAAGAATTATCACTTATTTTTTGCTTATCATAACAATATATTTTATTTATTTTTATATTTATTTTTATAAAATATTAAATATGAATTTCATTATATTTTGTTTAATACTGATTAATTGATTATAGAGTATGTGTAAACTTTTTTACATAAATAAAATCAGTTTGTAATTGAGCAATAAAATTAACACAGTTTTTGAAATGAGACTTTTTGTTGTTATGCATCATCAATTATTCCACTTTTTGTGGCTTATTATCCTAATAATTGGTGGCTACAAATAAAACTTTTCATATTTATTTTATTTATTTTTTTAATTGATAAAAGTATTTCTTTATTAGTAAAATGTAGAAGAACATATTACATATTTAAGGGACAGATCGGCACTCAATGAGAGAAAATGATCAGCAAACTATAATTAATTTAATGGGTTTCGTAATTAATAAAAAAAAAATTTTTGGAATTTTGCGTTCTTTACTATATAAACTGCCTCAATGAGCAAAACAAAACAGTATGAAGTAACCCTTCTGGCCAAGGGAATTATTTCAGAAGATTTACACTATGGAATACATGCACGAAATTGGTGGGAACCATGCAAATTTGCTCAAACCAACTTTAATCCAATACCTTACCGACTATTTATGTCTGTTAATTGTTGTCTTAACAGTAAAAATTTTGCAATAACAATTCTTAATGATGAGCAAACACAAAATCCATGTTTCCGTTGTGTTTGTGATGGTAAAGATTCTGGAATTCAAGCGTCAGCGAATGCAGCTATTAATAACATGTACATACAAATTTTTGGTAATAAAACAACAAAGTATTCAGGATTAATTGTTATGGGATTTGATAATGAAGCAATTGTTCGTGAGTTAGTAGCTGATGTTTCATTTGTTCCAATATTTATTCGTTTAGATAAAATAATAATTGTGGTTAGTAAAATTGGTGATTCATCTCGTGAAGGATATTATGGTGCCAGTCCAGGATATTTTTCTACACTTATAACAAAATATGCAGGCAAACAATCACTTTTTGTACAATCCATAGAAGATGAATGTAGTTTAGACATTTATAATGAAGGTGTTAAATTATACCATAATAAGAATACTACACCTAATAAAATTTGGGAAACTATTGATATTCACAAAAAATATGATGGAGTGGCTTTATTCGGAATTACTGATCCATATATTCAACAAAAATTGGAAGAACTGAATAAATTAGAAAAAAGTAAATTAGAAAAGAGTAAAAATTTAATCACTTGTACAAGTGATAATTGGGAAAATATTGATATATTGAATCTTATATTTGAGCAAAATATAAAAAAAAGTAAAATTGCTACTAGTACATTTTAAGATTGGTCAAACTTATTTACAAATTGGTATAAACAAACTAATACAATAATTCAATTTCACACAATTTTATTTCAAATTTATCCAAATAATTACCAATTCCAAGAAAAAGAATTAAACGCGTGGCGAGCAATGTTTTGTGCCGCTGGTTGTACCAATATCACTCAACTTGTAAAAAAAAAGCATATAATTGAATTTTGGACAAAAGCATCAGATCCTTCGTCTGATAGGGATAATCTAGTAAAACTTTTTGAATCAGGAATGTTATTGGTAATGGAAAAGAAATCTCAACCTAATAGCGAAAGTGAAAAAATTTGGGAAAGTTTACAAAAAGCTTTAGAAGCAAATAAAAGAGGAGTTGATGGAAAAGTTAGGATTCTTTCAATAATTGCAAAAAATTTTACATATAAAAAACTCAATGAGAAGTTTGGGGTAAAGTTAAAAATTATATTTATTGAATTTATTATAAATAAATCTTAAAAATAACTAAATACTTACATATAGGTAGGAAATAATATAATTAATTCTGCACGAAAATATGCAAGACTTAATGGACCAGGAGCACCAAGCCTAATAAAACCAAAAGAACTGTTAAACAAATGTCTGAAATTAAAGAAAAGCAAATTTTAATGTTTTTTCAAGATCGAAGTATAGTTACGCAAAGTTCTTACCAGGTGGATAAGAATGGATCACCAATATTATATATGCGTGATCAAAAAATCAAACTGTGGAAAAAATTTGAAGAAACTTTTCCTAATGGTATGAAAAAGACATCATTTTTGGGCCGATTAGCAAATTGTAATAATATCAAATATCGGAATGATATGGGTGGACTTTGCCTTACCTGTAATGAATATGGCTATACTCCATTTGAGTCTTTAATAGCTATTGCACACAATACATTTTCACAAAAAGATCAGTTAGTAAGTAAAATTTTTAATAAACAAATTATTTTAGTTTGAAAATATTATAATTTACCTTTTATTAATATTTTTAGAATAATGCATTGCGAAAAATTGACACTTTAAAGCGTCACTTGCGTCGTGGTTATGAAAGAGAATTGGCGGTTAATGCTGATGGTACAACACAACATAATCTCTGTATTTCTCATTGTTTACCATATGCCTTTGGAAAATGTTTGGAAAAACATAAGTCACGATGCTCAGAGTGTGATAAATTTTTTGAATTTTTTGAATTTATGCACCCACATGTAAATGAAGATCAAGCAGCTTTTTTAGAAGAAATAAAAGAACATTTGCAGTATTTCTTAGCCCATACAACACGAAAAGTATACTTGAATGCTTAATTCTTTACAGAAACTAATAAATTTGAAACGACTAAGCCGCGAATGTGCCACAATTTTGCCACCTATCTGTGGCGGTAAAATCACAATGATTACGTTACTTTTTACTTAACATAGCCGCAGCAGTTCGTATCAAATGGTTAGGTAGAGTACTGGTAGAGTATACATTAAGTAGTCATAGCGAATTAAAGTTATAATTAGGTAGAGACTACGCAGAAACTACATTACAATTAAGCAATAATTTATATACATAATTGTCACAATATGACAATAAAATCAAATATTATATTAAACACATTACTATACATCTATATTAAAGTTCTTATACAAAAAGTAAAATTTTAGTCCAACGGCATTTTTCATTTGCCCTTTGCTCATTCGTTAAAGTAAATAATTTAAATAAAAAAATAACTTTCATCTAAACATCTAAAGAACTGAAGATCCATCTAAAAAGAATAAAAAATGAAATTGTTAGCGTAATTAAAAAGTTTAAGCAGATAAATGGTTCGTTAAAGAATAATTAAAAACTGTTAATATCCTACCATATTCCCACACATCCAAATAGTCAAAAAGCCAAGCTGTCTACAAAAAAATAAATGCAACATTAGTAATCATTTCATTAAAAGGACTAAAAAACAACCTCCTCTTTCTTACCGAGTTTCCACACGTCCAAATACTCCAAGAAGAACTGACTGTTTACAAAAAAGAATAAATGAAACATTAGTGAATGTTTCGTTAAAATAGATTAAAAAATTCCAGCTCTCTACCAAAATTCATGCGTCCAGAAAAATTGGCTGTCTAAAAAAAAGAATAAAAATGAAATGTAACTTTCGTTAAATGTTAAAATAAAAAATTCAAGAAAGATTGCTGAAATACCCACTAAAATTCCATGATTGTACGCATCCTAGTATCCGAAAAACTAGTCGCCTATAAAATAAAAAAATATAACGAAACATTAGTAAGTTTCGTCAAAATAAAAAATAAAAAAGAAACCCACCAAGGAATATGCTCCAGAAAATTCAACAAAAAATCCAGGCTTCGAACGTCTAAAAAGAATGAATAAAATGTTAAAAAATTTTTCATTGAAAGAAATATATTAATTAAATCCTTTCCTTACAGAACTCCCACATGTCCAAAAAAACTTAAAAAAAAAGAAAATTAGTATATAAATGAAAAAAATCAAAAATCGATAAAGATAAAAATACCTACCTAAGAGAGCACCATTCACATAATCAAAGTGCCAAAGACCCGCTAAAAAAAATAAAAATGAAATAATCGTCAGATTACTTTTGGAACCAGTTTCCTGCAAAATAAAGAAAATGTTAGGTAATGTTATTTTATAAAAAAAAAAACTTAATATATTTAAGTAGTTTTCAAAACATTCTGAATACTTGCTTGGGATTTAATTTTTTTAAATCTTTGAATCGAAGGGAGCTATGCTTCAAAATCGGACCTGGATTCCTACATAATAAAAAAAATTAATGAATAATTTTTTTTATAAAAAATAATAAAAAAAAAACATAACAAAATGTTAGTAACCATTTCGTTAAAGAATTAAAAAAGTAACCTTCTCACCCCTTAACGAGTTTTCCATGTGTCCGAATACTCCAAAGAATTGGCTGTCTAAAGAATACTGTAAACAAAACATTAGTGATCGTTTTGCTCATTTCGTTAAACAAATAATGAAGAAAAAAAAATAGCTTACCTTTCTCCAATAATGTGTCAGAACCCGAAGAGCAAACCATCTAAAAAAAGGAAGAAAAAGAAACATTAGTAGCTGTTTAGTTGTCTCGTTAAAAGTAAATAACTAAAAAAAACCCTCACCATTAATTAATACAAAAAATAAAATAATTTTTCTTGCCATGCGATTTATCTCATGCATAATTGCTTGTTCATTAGCATCAGTTTCACTAACAAAATTTTGCAGATGATCTCGTACTTGTTCATTGAAATCAGATAAATTTATTAATCAAAATTACGCATATCGATATTCAATATTAAGAGTATGATTATTAATCGAAATAATTTCAAATATCTGAAAATAAAAACCATCTACAAAAGAAAAAAAAAAGAATGAACCGTTAAAACTGTTTGTTAGAATTTAAAAAAAAAGAAAAAAAATTACCAAAAATTTTTCGTCCTTCTTTGTGTTCCAAAGATCCAAAAGTATCAACTGTTAAAATGAACGCGTATTCCTAAAGACTAGAAATAAAAAGAAGGAAATAAAATTTTCGTTAAAAACCAATTTTTTTTAATAAACTTTTATTCTTTTTAATTTTAAAAGTCACCAAGTCGTCACATCCGTTAGCCGCCTAAAATGAAACTCTCTTACCAAACCCTATAAGCATCCAAAGGCCAAAATGAAGGTAAAAGCCTATAGGTAACAAAAGCCTATATAAGAAAAGAAATTAGAAAAAAAAAGTGAGAGAAAAGGGGAAGGAATTTAAGAGTGTGAAAGGGAAGTGAAAGGGAAGTGAAAGGCCAAAAGGGTGAGTGAAAGTGAAAGAAAAAGAACGTATAAAAGTGTAAGGAAAGAACATGTAAAAGTAAAGGAGAAAGGAATAAGGACAGAATGAAGGAAAAGAAAAAGAAAGAACAAGGGAAAGGGAAATAAGAAAGGGAAAGAGTAGAAGAAAGCAAGGAAATGGAAAAGAGGAAATTATAAAAAACTAACGAAAAAAAAGATTAAGCTTAATTAAACTGCAGTTTGCAGATCATTCAAATCATTAATATTCGAAATAAACTTTAGTTTCTTTCCATACACGCTCTCTTTACACTCTAACTCGAAACTTTTTTTAATTTTTTTCTTTTAAAGTTTTTCAAATCGAAAACTTTTTTTTTAATTTTTATTTATTTATTTTTTTTTATTTTTTATCCTACTTTACGTATATCCTTCTCCTCCTAAATATGAAAAGGAAGAAAAAAAGCAAGGCTCCACCCACCTTAAAGCCCACCTAAATACGAAAGGGAAAAAATAAAGTACTCACCACCCTCTTAAATATGAAAAGGGAAAATCGTATCCACCTATCTACTTTTTATTACATTCTGGATTTTTTAATATAAGGTTCTTAGAGATCATAAGCTTTCTCACCAGCTGGAAAAGTGTATGAATTTCTTTAATTCACAAAGAAAGCCTTGCTAAAGTCATCTTTAGTGTAGGCCTAGTAATACATTGCCTTAATTGAGCGTGGCTAAGAAGTTTATGATTATCAGTTTATAATTCTCGTTACATTTAGTATATATTTCTTATATTTTAATTACACAATTTATTTTACTATATATTTAATTGTAATGATATAATGCAAATTATCAAAGTAAGACAAAATTTAATAAATTATATAAATTATATTAATAAGAAAAAATGTTATTAATAATACATTTTTACAAAAAAATTTATTTTATAATACATTTGTACGAAAAAATTTATTTTATAATAAATACATTTTTACGAGAAAAAAATTTATTTTATAATACTTTTTATGAAAAAAATTTATTTTATAAGTACATTTTTACGAAAAATTTTATTTTATAATAAATTTTAAGGGTAAATTTTATTTATATTAATAAAATTATTAGAGAATTTAATAAAAATAAAATTATATTATATTACATATATCAATATTTTCAATTTCGTCATTATTTGATGGTTAACGAATTTTTTATGTGATTTTTGGAAATTATAATAATTATAGCTTCCATTAATAAAACCGTGGATAAATTGCAGCTAAATCGCTGCCTATCGTATTACAATAAAATAAATATGGCAGAACTGCTGTGACGTTGACACCTATTGGCCACTGATAAGTGATAATTATGTAGCTGCTCCGCTCCAGATATACGAGTTTCAGTAAAGTTTATTAATATTTTAATCTCAAAAATACCTTNTTTAAAGCTACATTGGCCAATCTTGATGAGAATGGTGCATTATTTATTGCTGATTACAAGATGAGAATTTTGCCAAGATCTGCTAGGGAAACTAAAGCAGAATTTTTTGGCAAACGTGGCTGGACTCTTCACACAATCCTAGTTTTTACAAAAAAAAATAATTGTGCAGAGTTAGATATACGAGCTTATGATCACTGGTCAACTGACACCAAGCAGGATGCTTGGTTTACTGCCTCCTCATTTGAAGCTGTTTTTGAAACAATAAAAAATAAACCAAAATGGATTAGAATAATTTCAGATAATGGGGCACATTACCATTCATCAGAACTTATGGAAATAGTTTCACATTAGAATGAATGGTATCAAATTGAGGTTCGTGATTGGCAATTTCTTGAACCGGGTGAAGCTAAAACAACCATTGATTCCCATCACGCTGCAGTAAGTACTATTGTTATAAAGCTATTGCAATAAATTTAACATTAAAATTACATTTTTTTTAGATTTCTCATTCAATCAAAAGATATATTAAGATTGGATATGATATTCATGATGGAGAGGATATAGTGGAAGAAGATAAACATTTATCTGGTACATCACTGGCAAATTTAGAACCAAATCGAAGTCAATTTGGACCTGAAGATGAAAATTCAAATAATGTTAGCAAAAAAGAACTAAATACAAAACCAAACGTCAAAACAATAAAAGGTATTTCAAATTTGTTTTACTGGAAATGGCCAATTTCTGGTGAAATGATAGGTTATATATGTGCACGATCACTCCCACATTTTGGTCCATGGAATAATTTTTCTCCTTCTGCAATTACCAATCTTTGCACCAAACCAATTGTTCGTCCCCATCCAAAGATTTCTGAACAAACTGAACCTGAATCATCTTGGAAAATTCCTCTGCTAGGTAATCAATTGAAATAAATGTCTTTTTTCATAAACATATTTGACTAATAATGTATTTTATAGATATAAATTCAACCAGTATATCAGAATTTATGGATAATAATAATAGTAGTGATGAATTAGAAGATGTAAGGTAAATAAACGTGTAGCTTAAACAAACATAACAAACATAATTGAAAATTATAATCTTACATTTTTTTGCGTTGAATTAGTTCTGTTGATGCGAATTTTCAATTTTCCATGGGATAGGCATTAAAAAGCAATCAAAAACTAGGAGGGAAAGGAAAAGGAAAAAGAATGAAAAAGAAAGTAAAAGAGTTGTTGAAAAGTTTTTTTTTGAAAGGAAACCTCAATCAAAAGGATAAAATGTCAGCAAATGAGATGTATAATGAACTACTGATATTTGTTGAATCTGGAGAGTTAGAAGCCGAAGATATTCCTAAGATAGCAACAATACAAAACTGGATTTCAACTTATACACGAACATTCAAAGAACAAGCTACAGAAAATATGGTAAACAACGCACCATAATATAGTATAATAAGCAGAACTTTGTAAATAATATAAAATATTAGTGATTAAGAACAATATTCAGTATATAAAAGATAAAAAAAATAAAAAAATGAAGCTAAATTAAAACTAAATAAAGGGTTAAAAACTAAATAAGAACCAAAATCAGCTCATTTTTGATTGAAATTGTTCAAAAATAAATCATCTAAAATTTGAATCAACCAGAAATTTATAGCCGAAATCTTGCGTTCCTCCATAGTAAAGTCAAAGATGTGGAACTTTAGCGACGTCAAATTTTGCAAGTGGCTTAGCTAGGATTGATACTATTAATTACCATTTTTAAAATTTGTATAACATATCATGTGGTGAGCCGATGACCCGGTAAAAAAGGAGTATTAGCCATTTTTAGCAATGATCTGTGTAAATCAGAATTAGTAAATTTCTCTTATTGAGTGACGATCTGTCCCTTAATACAAAAAATACATTGAAATTTAAAAAAACGAACGTTTATACCAAATCTCTCCATACCAAAATCTTCGTATAATAAATGAAGTAACGGCTAAACTAAACATGCACATTGAACATAAGAATTAACTAAATTACTAATTATTACATTACCCCACGATTTTCTATCTTTATTTCCTAATCTAAATACGCTATCCTTAACATTTTCTTCTAAATTATTTTTTATCATATTTTTTATCTTTTACTTTGTTTTTTTTTTTTTGTTTGCTAATTTATTCCTCTTACCCCTTCATTTTATCTTCATCGCTATCATCTACTCTTTTTTTTTTCCTTTTCAAACCTTTTAAAATCCTCATATAAACATCAAATATTTCATTTAAAACAGACTTTTGACCTTTCAATTTACAAGCTCGCCACCATTTCTCATTGATCAAACCCTCATGACCTCTCTCAGTAGATTCTCTGGGTCACAATTGTTGACCTAACTTCCGATATACCAAACAAACACTCTTTAAATTGTTTAACCTTATCAGCATCGAACTCTTTTGTATAGTTAGTTAGAACTTCGTCAATACTATCTTTAAATATTACAAATTCTGCATCACTAGCGTCATTTTTATCACAAATCCATATACTGTATGTTCACACGTTTCTTCTTCTATCGCACAACACGGACATTTCTTATTTGGTATTCCCCATACCTTCCGTGCCCACAACACCTCATAAGTTGGCAAAATTAAAAAAGTTTTACCCTAAAACATCTAATCGAGGCATCTTTACTATGTTCACATTCCTAGGTGTTGTAACTTCATTGTTGATTAATTTAAACGACACACTCCAATCGATAAGCACATTACTTCCATTTGCACTTATAGTATTATAAGTAAGCTCTTTAAACCAGAACCTATACGCTTCTTCTATTGGAATATAATTCCACCTCAAACTATATTCATCTAACAGTATGTTGTTGAAGTTAATTTCTATTTCCCTTATCGATTGTTTACAATTAACTAACTCTTTTTTTATCGCTTGAATTTTAACGTCCTGCACTGCCCTTTGCGCTCCCTCTTGCCATCTTTAACCAACATACTAATATTTATTAACTCAAGTATTGTATTTATAAAGTTGAGATAAATATATAATTTGTCATCCAATTCCCTACGCACGCTCCCAATTTTACTATATTCATATAACCATTCAATAACGTCTAGATCTGTCCTTAAATCTATTTTAACATTGTATGGCAAAATCATAATCACTACCATTAATGCCACTGCGTACGCTTTTTTTCTTTTTTCGAGAACTTCAACTTCCTTCGTAATTAAATTTATCTTCATTACTGTTTTTTGGTATAATATCGAACCCAAAAAAACCATCTAAACACAAATCTTCTACTTTTTGCACCACCGCTCCTACATTTACAATAACCTCTTTATCTATAAACCTTGTCATTTTTTGAAAAACAAGATTTTATATGCTTCCTCACTTTCTATAATATAATCCAACCATATCATACAATTTTTAACATTATCGTCGCTATCTCTTTTTCTATGTATACCAAACACTTCCCCGTGTTAAGTTTTCTATTTATATTGAACTTACAACCTTTACAGTCCATTAAAAACAGAGAATCATAAACCCTAAATTCTTCTCCCGTTTCTTCATGCACTACTAAATGTCTACCAATTTCATCATATTTCTTACTTTGCGATTTTTAGTTTTTATACTAAACATATTATCTCACCCTTTTTCCATTCATATTTATTTTTTAATTCTGAGGAAAAAAACAAATTAAAAACTTATATATTTATATAGTTCATATCATTATTGCAGATTTATGAAATATCCGTTACTTCAATTGATTAATTGATTTGAAAAGCTTAATCGCACGTGATACTAATTAAGTACTACAGTAACGTTTTTTATTTTTTAATTTAATTTTAAAAAAACATTCCGCAACGCTTTTTATTAGTTAATTTGATTAAAAAAAAGTTAAAACGTTTTTTATTGAAGTCCTACGGTGTAATTTGAAATTTCTTTACTTATTTCCTTCATTATATAATTTGTCAATAAATAGAAAGAATATTTTATTTATATATAAGTTTAACGAATTAATCATGCAACGTTTTTATTAATTATCAAAAAAAAACGTTGTGGAACTTTTTTTTTAATTAAATTGACTGATAATAAATGTTTCGCCATGAACCGTTTTTTTTAAATTAAATTGACTAATATAAAACGTTGCGAAACATCTTTTTTTTTAATAAAAGAATGGTTTCGCAACTTTTTTTTAACTATTTTAATAAAAAATGTTGCAAAAACATTCTTTATTGAATTTTTTTACCAGGTTCGGTAAACCGTAAACCGATACCGAAACCGAAGTTACCGAAACCAATCGGTAAATTTACCAAAAGGTTCAGTTCGGTATTTACCGATACCAATTGGAGCCCTACCTATTTGACCAATCGGTCATCAATATGCTATCAATCAGTCATCAGTCGGCATGTGACCAATTGATGACAGATTTAGCTCGGATTAAAAAAGCTCGCTTATAAATATAAAAAAATAAAAAATATTAATCCCGATCTGTTACGAATTACGATAAGTAACTACAGTTTTGGTATCGATCATATGACTTAACAATCAGATAATCAATAAAAAAAAAATTTTTTTTTTAATTTTTTCTTCTCTTCCCAGACTTAAATTTCGACCAGGACTCCGGAATTGTAAGTTAGAGATCCTAGGAATTTTTTTTAGTTTGGAAACGTTACTAATGTTCCTTCCTTTAGAAACGTTCTCCTGGACTTGGATTCCGTCGAAATGAAGTAAAAACAGCCTTCTGGACTGGATTTTGGCGAAATGAGATTTTTTTAGAGTTTCTTTCTTTTTTTTTTATCTGACGTTCTTTTTTTTATTTTTTAGGTTTTCGGTCCTTCCTTGGAATGGAATATGTGGTAGGTATATTTTGAGCGGGCATGTAGCGTTATGAAATAATATTAACGTCTATTTCCTTTTTTTTTAGATTTTCGGCTTTCTCTCGAAGTGGAATACGACGATAAGTGTTTTTTGGGTGGGTGTGCGGTTGTGTAATGGCGTTATTAAACAACATTAATGCCTTTTTTTTATTTATTTAGGTTTCCGTACTTCTCTCAAGGTGGAATATGATCCTATAAAAAAATTGGATACATTTTTTATATAGTTTTTATACAATTTTTTTTCCTTAGAAATAACGTATCATAATAGGATACGGAAAAAGGCACAATTCCGTATCACTAAAAATATGGTTTGGATACGGAATTTGCACGGAATTCATATGGAATTTACATGATTTGATCACTGATTTTATCACGAAATTTATACGATTTGGTCACTGAATTTACTATTTGTGTTACAGTTTACTATAATTAAATCTAATTTTACTTTATTAAATTAAATAAAAAATAAAAAATAAACAAAATACAAATACATTATGAAAATTCCCTCCTTATTAAGGCCACCTATTGCAATCAAAAGTTCAGGTTCATTTGGAGTCAAACAACCTAAAAAAAACAAAAAGAACGTCTAACTTAATTGGAAACAAAAACTCCCCTTCATATAGTATCTGCAATCGTCCAAGTCACCAAAGGTCAGCATTCCTACAAAAAAAGAAAGAGAACTCCAAAATGTCTGACCTACATAAATGAAAAGAATTATGAAGTATCTGATGAAAAAGAAACTAAAACAACAAAATAAATCCAAAACTAACCTACAAAAAAAGAAGACTCTGAAGCAACAAAACTGAAACAACCTACAAAAAGAAAAGAATCTGAACCCAACTTACAAAAAAAAAAAAAGAAAATTTGAACTGACCTAAAAAAAGAAAAAAATCTTGAACAATCCTACAAAAAGGAAAGGACTCCCAAACTGATCTACAAAAAAACTGAATCTTCTCACAAAAAAAAATCAGCTGGCCTATGAAATAAAAAAAGGGATAAATATAAATAAAAAAGAAAGGGGAATAAAGAATAAATCAAAAAAAAATATTTTTTTAAAAAGAGGGTAACGAAGTTAGGAAAGTTAAAAAAAATTTTTTTTTAAAGGAGAGTGATAAAAAAAAAAATTTTTAAAGTGAGGTACGAAAAAAAAAAATTTTTTTTTTAAAAGGGGGGTGCCGAAAAAAGAAGAAAAATTTAGAAAAAATAACAAAAATAAGACAAGAGAAAAGAGAAGAAAAGGAAAGACAGAAAGGAAGATCGGAAGATCAAACTCATCAAAGTAAGGGTTTATACATATAAAAAACAAAAAACGTATCATAACAAAACAATAAACAATCACGTGATCTCGTGTTATGATACGAGATTTTTGTAAAATTATTTTCTAAAAATATTGTTTAAAAATTCCGTATACGTTCCGTATGATTAATTTTTTCCGTATACATTAGTTTTTTTAAAAAATGTTCAAAAATGAATTGCTTATTAAATATACGGAATTTGTATACGGAATCTATAGAAACGTACATAAAATGTATACAAAACGTATCCTTTCCGTATACATATTTCTTATAGGGTGATAGTAGATATTATTTGGGTGGGTGTGGTTGTGTAATGGCGTTATTAAACAACATTAACCCTTTTTTTTTATTTATTTAGGTTCCAGCCTTCTCTCAAATATGACGGTAGGTGTTATTTGGGTTATATAATAGCGTTATTAACAACATCAACGCCCTTTTTTTTTATTTTTTTTAGGTTTCCGGCCTTCTCTCGAAGTGTAATATGACTAGGTGTTATTTGGGTTGAAATTTTTTTTTCATTTTTATTTAATGAACATTAACCAACGGTCATTTTTACTTTTTATAGGTTCAAGACACCACCAGACACCTAATCAACTCAAACAATTCAACAAACCAGTCAATCCACTTTATGGAATACTAAGGATCTACCTATAAATAATGAAAGGAAATAAAACGAAAACAACAATGTGAACAGGAATATAGCATTTTATCAAAGAGCAGCAGACTTTAGCACGTCACTTAAGAAATTCCCAATAGAAATTATCATGTGAGTCATAGCACTTACACAAATAGTTCCCATTATATACCAACCAGGGAATTTCATACTGAAGACCTTTACACTCTGATTCATAACTTTTGGGTAAAACATTTGATGAATATTGGAACTAGTTCAAAATCTCAAATCATCCCTTTTACTAATATTTACAAATTACAAGGCTTACAATGAGGATTCCAGCACCTCAGCAAACAACATTAAACGGTTAGATGCAAGACCTAAAAACATTTACCTAAGACCTTTTATCAAAATTTTGACAAAAGAACAAAGTTAGATATACGATCCATAAAACACTAACCGAGATCGGCACATTCAAACTTGCATCTCTTTAGGGCCAGAATTACATAATGTCAGCTGGCATTATTAAAAAAACCAGTGATGTAAGGATTAGCGCAGTAGGCGCAGCATACATTACTTTTATTTCCCGTGTATTTCGTTGAAAATATTAGGTGGCGTTTTTCTTAGTAGCGCCTGCTATCATTATTATTTTAATATATAAAGCGATTTTTTTTTTAAAAAAAAAAAATTATCATCAAATTACTTTATCTTAATTAGCAATTCCCGCAAAGTGGTATTCCTTAAACAAGCTCTATTCTACAACATCTTGATCTAGAATATTTTATCACTAATATATTCATAGTATAGTGGCGTATTAAATATGAAAAGGATTAGCCAAAAGATTATTGGTCAAATATTACGTATCAATTAGTAATAATTCTATATATCTTATTATTTTATATTAAAGCAAAACAAAGAAACTATATAAGCCAGATTCTGTCAGAAATTGTTTGCTGGAAATTATAACATTGGTAAGTTATTTATATCCAAAGAACTACTATTATTATAATATTTATTTGTATCTGTAAATCTTTTATTTCAGTCAAATAATATGATAAAATATATTTTTCACATGTAAATGACAATATAAAAAATATCATGCATTTCTCAATAAATTACTATTAGAATACTGTATATTAATAATTTACTATTAAAACAGATTCATCTACGATAAAATCATAAAATCTTAAATTTAAATACGTATAATAATTGCTTTAAAATTTGTACAAAATGGTATATTGGAACTTTATTAATATTTATTATTTTCTACTTATGGGAATATCCGCCACAATTCTTTTTGGGCGAGAATGCGTGATCGATTAATAATATTAGAAACAATTCGTTAAATTGAGTCATCTTTCAGTAGAATAGTTGATGCTTAAGAAGATAAATATAACATCTTATTACAATAGAAGAGAAATAAATATAAATAACGTTTCACTAGCGAAAATATTTGAAGTTTATTGACAATTATATATTTTAAGAAAGTATCATCATAGTGAATTAGTTCCAAACTATCATTAAGTGGAACTTGTTTTTGATGATATCATATATTGGTATATACAGTAAAAAATATATGAGAATACCATAAAATAACACAATTTTTTTTTTTAGAAAAAAAAAAATTTATTTCACCATTTCTATTAATTCATCTTTAATAATTTCAACTATTAAGTAATGATTGAGTTTCTTAATCTGCACCATTTCTTAACAATATAATTTTAATATCTAATACATTGTAAATAAATAGCCAAAAATATATTACAACATTGTAAGATTATTACCAATTTATATCGTATATTATACTTATTTGATAAAAGGAATGCTAAATTCCATAAGTTATATTCATCATAGAAAGATAGTATATATTCATGTTGATAAACAATTTCGAAAAGAACATGTTTAAAGTACTTGTTATAATTCACTGTAATATGATTGAAGACTGATATAAATCAATTATCATAATAGTATGTTAATTAGATATTTAGTAAAGTAAGAATGATGCAGTTATGTACATATTTATTAAGTTTTATTTTGTTCAACACCTCCATTAATGAACTCTCTGATGAAGTTCTGGATGTAGACGAGTAAGATCTTAATTATAGTACTAGTGTATATTGCTTATTTGTTAAAATTATATTTACATTTTTTGATTTTAGATGCATAACGCCACGCCTATCGACAGCGACAATACTTTGGGACAATAGCTTGCATGATATTTTTAACATGCATCCCAACTCATGATCTTTAACAAATTATTAAAAATTATTCAATTAAAATATGTGATAGATATAGATAAAGTTTTTATTAAATTATAATCAAGAAATGGGTATGGCTTAATTCTTTGAGAAAAATGAAGAAAATGAATATTAGCGGTGTAAATTAAAATTCTAACAACAACACAGTGCTGGTGACTGAAGAAGAGGGCGTTTACACCTAAACTACTGGTTCTAATTTAAAAATTACAATTATTATTAATAGTAAAGTTTCAAATCTTAGTTTTGAATTGACATTAATTATTCGACTTGTTACTTAAGAATTTATTATTGCAAGAACAAATAGTTATAGTCATTTATTACCAATTTGCGCATAGTCATTGGCCGATGTTTGAGACAGTAATGTCAGTGGGAGTAATGAACATAAACTGGACAACAGTGTGAAAAAGTCAATCATATGAGACTTTATCAAAAAACATTAAAAATCTTAGCCAAAGATAGTTGTATTAATAATATTAATAAAGAGGATACTCAAAACTTGTTTTCCTTTTCAAAAAAAAGTGGTTTACCATCACCTTATTATAAGCTGGAGAAAAAAACCATGAATCGAGTCTGTTACAAAAATTTATTTAAGAGAATGGTCATTTATCCAACGCTATCATATGTAATCGGAAGAATCTTACTAGAAAAGAAAAATGTTCTGGCATATTGTAAGCCGAATGGCTAATAACAATAAGAAAATTATGGCCACATGCACGTTATATAAGAAATTTGAATAAACTATGCAGATATTATAGAAATATAGGTCATAAAACTCAGAAGAAATGAATACTAATGTAAACAACTTAAAATCTTCAACATTCAAAGATTGCAAAGTACAAAATCTGAAAAAATCTGAACACAAAACAAATTATTAGACATTTATGCTATAACTATTAAAATTATATTAACAAAAATTTTTATTATAAATAATCAGAGACACGAGAAAAAAATCTTATCCATTATTAAAACTTTTGAAAAAGAATAGAAAGGTCGATAGGATAAAGAATAATATTATTTGACAAGTGGTCTATTTGAATTATTGTATAGTTTCAGGTAGAAAATAGCCTAATTTTAATATTTATGCAGTATGTGAAGTTTAATACAACATAGTACAGAATATATAAGTTCGTTAAATCCAAAATAAAAAAAAAGTTTACTTTTGTTTTTTTAAAAAAAAAAGGTTCTTGAAACAATGACGAGGATATTCATTAGAACAAGATTTAAGATTATTAGTAAATGATCCAATATAATACTAATACTAATATTATTTGAAAACTAAACTGTTCAGATTATTTTATTAAAAGAAACTTACGGTTAAACAATTGAAATTAATATGGTTACTAGATTAGAAGGTTGGCCAAAAATTTCACGCAATATAATGATAAAAAATATATACTACATTTCTGCATTTGTAATAATAAATCTCGCTCGATTGTTCATAAAAAACACTATTACTATATGTCGAGGGCCGAAAATCAAACTCCAAATAAGATACAATCTCGACATCTATAGTCCTGAAAATTCACTATCCCGAAACTTTACCAGGCCTGATCGTTCGGATTTTTTGATCGGATTTTGAGTTGATGTACTGTACGTCATGAATCCACAATGGAGAAGCGCCTCCTCGATCGCTACCTGCTCACTAAAGAGCTCAGCTTTTTTGCTCTCCTTTGTATCACTACCTGATATATTATTATATTTTTGGACCAATATATATATATAACTGGATGGGCCAATTGGGCCATCCATGAGGAATATTGAAAGTGTAACCCTTTCAGCGATCCCGATTTTGTGTTCTAAAAAAAGAATTTTTAAATAAGCAAAACAAACGAGTTAATTGGTTATTGTAAATTTTTGTGATCAGAGATCAGCTAACTCAATTTATAATTTGATCACATGTTTGGATTGGTGGATTGGTTAACTTACGATCAAATTAGCCCCGAACGATCAGAAATGAACAGGTTTACAATCTCGAAATTTTAAAAATTCATTACATTAAAATTTACATATAATCTTGATTTATGATTGACATTTATAGCATTACTTAACAATTTATAATTTATTATTTCATTATTTCATTTAATATTTAGATTACTCTGATTTTAATTGTGTAACGTGTATCATGTCTCAGTTAAATTTATTACGAATTTCTATCATAGAATTATGTCATTTTAAATACGTTATGGTAAGGTACGTCGATCATTTTCGTCGGCTATATCATTTTTACATAATTCTATCACTAAAATTATGATAAATTAATTAATTTAAAGAAAAATAATATTTTTTGTGTGCACAATTTATTATATGGTTTATCCCGGTGCGAAGCAACGTAATTATAATGATATATAACTTTTTTTATTTATTTGTAATACACATTTCTTTAATAACAAATGAAATAAAAATGTTATTACAAAGTACTAATATAAAGAATACTTAGTTTGATTAATATAATTACTCTATTTTATTAATATGCGCCTTAACTTTGTAGCACTAACGTTAAGCTACATTATTTCTGAACAATTTCATAACCCCTTTATCTACTGATATGCGCCTAATTTTCCGTTGACGTCGTAGCACCACTGTTAAGTTATCATAATAATGCATCCATTTATTGCTGAACAATTTATAACCCCTCTATCTAGATTTTGACGTTGTAGCACCACCGTTAAGTTATCATAAATTTATTGCTGAACAATTTACTATAACCCTCTATCTAGATTTTTTTTCTTTGACGTTGTAACACCACCGTTAAATTACCATGAATTTATTGAACAATTATAATCCATCTTATCTACTAATAACCGAGCAATACATATATAGGTAACAAAAATACTACGCAAGGTTTTTTATTAGGATAAAATAAGTAAACTCAATATGTAACTTCACGATTGCCAAAAAACAAGCAATCTAACCATATAACTTTATAATATCATATTTTTTTACCAATAATATCATCTTAGCTAAAATTTCCGTCTTGGTAATTTTTTTCATCCCCCATCACTTATGTTAGATGTTATGTAATGTATTATTAGATAATATCAAATTTATCCAGAAAGTAAACAATTGTAGCATATGACCTTTTTCAAAAATTCTGCGAAAATAAACAAATGAAAAAGATGACATTAGCAAAAAATATCATTAATTTTACGTAAACAGCATGTGATATTGTTACCTATACATACTGTATATTGCTCGGGATTTGACGTTGACACCATCGTTAAGATAGTGAAGATACCATAAGTCCATAATAATACATAAATTTATAATTATATAATATCATAAGTAAAAAGAATAATGAACTGTCGAGTTAATGAATAATAAAATTTCAGGATTGTAGATTTTTAGGAATAGATCTCGATTATATATACATATATACAGTATATCTTTAATATCTAAAGTCTAAAGTCTTACGTCTTTTTATTTTTTTATTTTATTTTTTTTTTTGTCGACAAAAATATACATATATGCGTTACCGCACGTACTAAAAATTTATATTTTTTTACCATAAATCATTGTATATTTACAATACATTCTAATTGATTTTGTTTCAGTAATGAATTCATCAAATAATTGATTAATCTCTGAATTTGTTATATTCATTTGTTTTGCTAACAAATTCTTTAACGCGCTTACAGCATTTATCATATTTTGTCCTAATAATGATCCTAATAAAAAGAAAAAAAAAATCGTCAAATTTTTTTTGAAAAAAAAAAATAAATAATATTATATAATAACTTTTACATACCAATTTCACCGTCTAATTCACTTAATGGAAGCGTAATATCATTTTGTTGAATTTCTTGTAATCCATATTTTTTTAGATATCCATGTAATCGATCATTAATTGACGGATTCATCGATCTCGCCCTTAATAATCTACTCACTTAAAAAAAAAAATTTAAATAAATTATTTGTAAATTGTAATTTCATTTTTTTAAAAAATGTAAAAAAAGCAAAAAGATTTTTTTTAAAAAAAAAAAGAAATAAAATATTCTTATATATACATTCATCCATAACTCTCTTGGTGGCAGGACCCATATTTTTAAAATATAAATTCGGTTCACATAATTCTAAAAATCCATTTGGTCTAAGTAAATCAACCAAATTTCTTATAACTTTATCATATTGTAAGTCGGTAAAACATAAAACCATACATCTCATATGTATAAAATCGAATGAATTATGATTAAAGGGTATTCCTTCTAATATATCATTATATATGAAGCGTGTATTAGATGGACGAATAGTTGGTAACATAAACGATTGTATTTCTATACCAGTGAATCTAGATTTTGGGTAATCTGATGATACATCAAATACCCACGTTCCAGTACCAGACCTATTTTTAATATAATAATATTTTATTATCTGTTATTATCAATTTCACGCTAAAAAGAAAAAAAAATGACAGCTCTAATTAATTAATTAATTAATTTACATACCCAACATCCAACACATCAATACCACGTACTAAATCTTGAGAAATTGGAGAAATAAAATTGGAATTACAGCAAATTTTCAATATATGATGTAATTGTTGTAATCTATCTATTTGTAATTCATCAACTTTAATAATATAATTTCCATCTTTTGATTTTTTAAAGAATAATTTTTTTTTTGTTGAAAACGTATTCCCCATATGCAATTATGAAAAGTAAGTAAGATGATGATGATAATAATATCGAGAATAATGATGAAATATAATAATGTAATGATAATAATAATAAGGTATTAATATTCTATACAGGAGATAAAGAGAGAATGAAAAAAAAAAAAATCAATTGAATCGAATAATAAAAAAAAAATAAATTAAATCGTTTTTTTAAAAGAAAATATTATGGGGTAAAAATATAACTTCTTTTTATACAATTTTACAATTTTTTTTTAAAAAAAGTAAAAATCTATTTAAAAAAAAAAAAAAAAAATCTATTTAAAAAAAGATGTTTCTTAAATAACCACTTTTGTAAGACATTATATGCATTATTTTCTTCTTGAATGAGAAAAAATAAAATAAAATAAAATAAAATAAAATAAAATTTCTTTGAATCATTTATTCTGTTACACCAAAAGCCCCCCGGATTAACGCTAAAGTATTACGTGGTATTACGGAAGATTAAAAGTTCCGATTAACCAACAGTAAAATATTAAATTTCTTACATAATCATTAAAATCGGTTAGAAATTTTTTTTACACAAATATATTATTAATAAATTACGTGACCATTCGATGATTGGAGAAATTTGATTTTTTAATTATGTCATTTTGAAATCTCTAATTTTTTTTTCCGCCTTGGGCTGTTAGGCTTTCTTTTTACCCCTTAGGCCTTTGGATTATAAATTACGTAAATTACATGTAGTTAATAAAAAAAAAAAAAAAATTTGGTCAAATGATTCATTATTCATAATTATATTTTTATTTTTTTGTAAATGTTTCGTTCTTCAATGGTTTTATTTTTTTTTTGAACCTGGAAAATGATGACTATACCGAATTTAATTACTGAAACATTTTTTAATCATTAAAATGTAAATAATGATTTCAAACTAGTATAAATTCAGACTAATATAAAACTCAAAATACATTTTTGTTTATTAAATTATATTTTATCTTTAAAATAAATATTTTATACGCCATTAAAGCAGGGGCGCAAATAAGTTACATAATACTATACTTGGTCATTCATTTAATTATTTGTTTAACGAAATAACAAATCAAAAATCAAATTGAAACAAACATCGGAAAATTCGGAAAATTCGGAGAAGAGCATTACATTGCAAAAGAGAGAGAAAGCTGGGCATTAAGTTTTTTTTTTTTTACCTTTTTTTTTACCAATAAAATAAGGCGCAGCAATTATGCAATTAATAAACTTTATTTTAATATTATACGACGGTCTAAATATGTCATATTTCTTTTTTTTTTAAAAAAAAAATAAAACATCGTTATTTAGGCGCAATGGAAACAGATACTTTTATAAGTTATTTATAGATTCAAATAGTAAAAATAGTAATAATAATAATAATAATAATAATGTTAATAATGATGATAATGACGGACGCCTACATTAATGTCATTAATGTATAATGAATGATTCACTTCACAATGGTAGCGAGTTTAGTAATATTAAAAAGACTTAAATTTGATGATTGTTTATAGTTTTATTTAGAAACGAAGGTAGAAATGAAATTATAATTATATGTTATTGGTGATTGAAATACCGACCATCAAATTCTTATCGAGATTATTGTTGAGATTGACGGGTCCGTTTATGCATTACTGTGCGAATATAACAATTACGCAAATCTGCATGAACTTACATTTTGATTATTATCATTGTATCAGACATAAAATTAAACATCCCTAATTGTTTCAAAAATAGTCTTCAAAGAAGTGTTTCTGCATTTCGCAAAAAAAAATAAATAAAAAAAAATAATTATTTACGAACCAGCTCGGAAATAAAACAAAGAAATAAAATTTACTTATTATGTGTCAGCAGAATTTGAGGATTAAATAATTGAAAACAAATTTGATGATGTAAATAAAGGCGTTTTCGAAATATTTTTATTTTATTTTATTTTATTTTTTTTTTTCTCATTCTAAATTAATTATATATGGAAGGAATGGTGAAACATAAATAAATTTGCCATTACTTTATGACATAATGCACGTCTAACCAAAATGGAAATTATGCACAAACATGCAATAGGAAAATTCTGATTGGATTTTTAACTTATAAATATACATGCAAGGAATGCATTGGCATACATTTCTTATTACTTGATTCTATAATTTTTTATTCTATATGGAAATTTGGACTTGAATTTGGCCAGCATTAATAGATTTGATTGACATTTTGATTGAAACGTGAATGCACCTAATACTTTTTATGAACGAAAAGTATTTAGGTATTAATGTAAAAATTATTAAATACTATATTTAAAAAAAATAAAACTTTAATAAGCAAAAAAATATCTATTTTTGGTCAATATGTATGTATCTAATTATATAATATAATATAAATATAAAAATAAAAATTTTATAAAAAAAAATTATTACATAGTTTAATTATCGTTAATTAGATATTGGATTTCTTTAATTATCAGATATTTTCTAAAAAAAAAAAATAAATAAATAAATAAATTTTAATTACCATAAATAAAATCCAATTATCGCAATATGAAGAAATTAAAATAAATAAAATTGGCATGAAATAACATTAGATAAAAATCACCAGATTTTTTATCTGGAATATAAGAATTCCGATTAGTAATTGTTTGTTACTAGTAGTATTTTCCTCGGTATCGGGTATCGCGACATTTTACCGAAAGCTTGGCCTGAGTTATTCATAATGCTGTATAATGTTGGCCCTATTTCTGAAACTTTCTTTCGGCGAGTTCCGTCCCTCATATATCGGCTGATCAGCTGATCATTTATTTCATGATATAACGCAAATAACACAAAATAACGCAAATAACGCAAATAACGCAAGATAACGCAAATAACGCAAAAATAACGCAAATAACGCAAAACAACGCAAAATAACGCAAAATAACTTTTGTTAGTATTGTATAAAATTTTATAATAAATAATCATAATTTCTTTTCTATATTCTGATTTTTTATATCGTTCTTTCGTTCTTTTGATACAAAATCGTGATATTTATTAAAGCCTATATTTCTTATAGCGTGGTTAAGAGACTCTCTCCTTATAAATGGACGAATAAAAATATAAAATCAAGTTACTTTATTTTAATAGGATCGATCCATAATTAAGTTACATGCAAATCCATAGAACATATGGCCTCAAATCCTCGACTTGTTTAATTCCACCGATCATAATGGGCAGATCTAAGGTTTTTGCATAAAATATGAAAATTTTTTTCTTACATAACAGAAAATTACCAATCATTTGAATGATATTCTTTACAATTAATAATTCTGGTCTGATCAATAAAAATTTGGGCAAAAATTATCAAAAAAGGAAAGATTTTTGTAATTATTTTGATTCAAATCGGGAATCATTTTAATAAGATCTACTTATTACATATATTAATGTAACATTAAAATTTGATCGTGTTAGGTAAATTAAGTAAAATGCAATCATGTTTTGTACTATTATTGACCCTGAAATTAGTCTTTTTATTAGCAACGAGTTCCTGGAAAATCGAAAACTTTATTATAAAAAGCAAATGTTACCAAAAAAAAAAAATAAGGAGTGTCACAAATTTATGGAAATTTGAAATTTTTTTGAAAAATAATTATTTATCATTCCTAATTGAATTCATATTATAAAACTGATAATTTATGAAATCAAGTTATTAACTATATAAATTAACAGTGATATACACTTTGAAAAAGTTCAAAAATAATTGGACTTCTAATCATTATTATTACTTCTAATTCTAATAAAAATTATTGGAAATTGCCAGTGCATATAAAAAAAATATATACATAAAACACATATATATTGTATGAATACACATATAATATATAAAATAATACGTGTTGAAAAAATTATCAACTTCTATAAAACATTGGAAGTTTCAATGTAAATCACTCATATGATTGATGATTGATGTGTGTGTATATCAATAAATTAAAAATTAATATCCAGGATACATCAATATGTTTCTAAATAAATTACTATATATTAATTCTTGGCGTAAATCACTAACAAAGAATTTTTTGTAGATCAAGAAATGTGAAAACTCGTGTAACTGATTGTTTTTTTTCGATTAATTTTTACCTTTACTGTGAATGTGAATAAAAATATTATTCACAACTTTAAAGACTTCTATTATCTCCGCTCATACGAAATTTATGCAAGTTTAAATGAAACCAATATCACAAACCAGTGAATGGTACTATAAAATATGTAACAAAATTAGACGAATTGAAATTAATGAAATGGTTCGGGAACTCCGCGGATAAAAAATGGACATTTTTTTTCAATCTGAAAAAATGATCCTAGCAAACAACCATAGTTAATTGTTTGTTTAACGTACCTATCCCCCTCTAGTTTTTTTTAAAAAAAAACCTAAATTTTGATAAACGTACAACAACATGAATGTTTAAATGCGTCCCCCTTTAAATTTAAATTATGATTTTCTGAAATTTTCCAAATTTTCTCAAAATTTCCAAAAATCTAATTATGCAAACCCCTCAAAACTTTTTCACGTTAAACAAACAATAGCCCTATCACAGGTTCAAAAAATAATTTGTCAAATATCATAAAATATTCGCGAATGAACAAATATCCGTGAATGAACGTACAACTCATAAAACTAAAAACTTACAAATTAGAATTTTAAATTTTCGTATTTTTCGTTCAAAACTTCAAATGTTTTCTTTTTAACTCGTAAATTTCAATGATTCAAAATTAGAACAAAGTTGAAAATGTCATGTTGTAAGAAAAGTATTTCAAGACTTTTCTATTTTCTTTGGTTTTGACTTACTCTTGTTCTTTTTTTGTTGTTGTTACTTTCCTTAATTACTTTTCTTCGATAGAAGAAAAACAAAGTAAGAACATATTTTATTTTCTAAAATAATGACCCTATAAAATTGATCACATACCGGAGTTTTTTTTTGGAATGAAAACTACTAAACTAGAGAAATAATCATTTATCGGAATTTCCCCAGAAAATTTTTATAGGTTGATGTTGAAATTAGTTTGGTAAAATATAAAACTAACGTAGAGATCCGTAAATATTTGCTGGATTATACATGGATAATCGCACGAATCCCATAATACTTAAGAATGATTCGTCATCCACAGATCGTTTCACTAATTGAAAACATGAAAATTAGCGGCATTTCTCGATCACGTGATTCGTGGCCGGCATTACAACATTATGCACGGATACATAACACTACGCGTTCATCAAACTAACATTTGTGATAAATATAATGTGACCATAAAGATATTTACGTTATCTTCTTAATTTTCTCAATTTTCTTTTCACTGCCCTATGAGTTTCTTTCGGAATGAAAATTAGAAATATGATCATTTATCTGAGTTTTTTCAGAATTATTTTATAGGGCTGGCCTCAAACCATCCTTTCCTGCTATATGTCCGAGAAATTTCACCAAATTTATATTTCTTTAACTCACAATCATATTCATTTATTTAATACTTTATCAATATGATACATGTGTTCTTCAAAATTCTTTGAATAAATCATTATATCGTCTAAATATACCCTATAAAAAAAAAAATGTCCGGAAATTGTCGTCGAAAATGTCCAGAAAATGTCCGGGTGTCCGGGAAATGTCCGGAAATTTCAATATTCAGGACACTTTCCGGACACCAGGCTTGAGCCCTCTTGTACATTTTCCGGAAATTCACAATATCTCGGCGTCCGGATTATTGCAATGTTCCAGACATTTTCCGAACACCTGGACATTTTCGATGACAACATCCGAACATTCTTTTTATACCACTACAAATTCTCGAAATTAGATAAGATTATATGAAAAAGATTTATAAATTTAAACTTTTATTTATATAAAATGACAAGTACCATACAACAATTATAACATATAAACTTTATTGTTTACACTTAATCATACATAATTTAATTTTAATATCATATGATCCATCGTATTTCTTCTAAAAAAATTTAAGATTTTAAAATCACTACAATTATAGATGAAATTATGATGATGGAATTTTTTGAAATCAAGGCTTATTTGACTATATATACACAGTATATATATATATATATATAAAACTTATTGATGAATTTCATTCTTACTATATAAAATCATAAAGGATTTGAAGGAGTTATTTAAAATATTTAACGAATATCATATAATTTGAGCAAAACAAAACAAACAATAGATAGAAACAGTATCGCTTAAAAAGAAAAAAAAAAAAAAGTAAATAAACGTTATTTAGTTAAGTAAATGACGACTTAAATAACGTGATAAATGAAGTTTAAGATTTTCTTTTTGATCGGATGTAAAAGCAAATCGTTCCTGTCCCATGTTTTGATCAAGTTCAACATCATATAATATCTTATTTAAATAATTAGGAGAAGCAATTTTACAAGATATTCGATAAATTTGATTATTATATTGTTGTTGGTAATAAAAAGCAAATTCATTTTCTTTTAATTGAGTTGGATTATTTAATAATTGTAAAGAAAGTTTTTCACATTTAATATGATAATTTAAAATATCGTTAGGTGGTTGATAGAAAAAATTATTAAGGTGAACTTGTGGATCATTATTTTCCTGATTTTGATGAGAATTTACTTGTACAGGAATTTGAATCATTTTTTTAGATAATTTCATGGAAATTCCATATTGATTTGATGCATGGCTATTTTGGTGAGAGGAAATTACATGGTTAACACTGGAAAATGAGTTAGTTTGTGATAATTGTAACATTTGTTGTGTACTATAATCTTGATAGTTATTATATTGTTGATTTGAATAAACGTTACTATTTGTACAATCTGCACTCTGTCCAGGATATAATTGAGGTACGGCAAAAGAATTAGGAACTTGAAGAGGTAACTGATAACTAAGTGAGCTATCAGGAGAATCAGGAGAATATTGCGATGCACCATTCAAAGCACCTTGGCTTTCTTTTCCTGAATATGAATTAGATGAGAAGTTATTATCTTGTAAATTATAAGGAGTGGATATAAATTTCTGTTGATAATTTTCTGGGTGGGTTGACATATTCAGTACTTTGTTATATAAACGACAAAGACTTTTTTTTTTTTTTTTATCTATTAATTCGTAATAATAATTTAATGGGGCTATACATTATGCTATACATTATGGGCCATATATATCTCTTTTTTTTAAAAAAAATGAATAAAATGAATAAAAATGGAGAAATGTTAAGCACGATCCCCTAAAGATGTGCAAAGATGATCTAATTATTTTTTTTTTTTAAAGTATAAAGAAAATCTTCAATATTTCTCAACATGTCTAGAAAATTTGTTAATATATTAAAAAATATAAATATAAAAGTGATTATCTAATATTTTAAAAAATAATTTAAAAATAATGTAAATCTTTTTATATGAAATGATAGAGCAGGACGATTTCCTTCATAATTACTGGTTTAGGTCGTTCAATAAACAGAAACTTTACTCTTTTGAAGAATTCTATAGATTACTAATTATAAGTGATTTATTCGATGCACGTTTTATTTATCGTTATTTAAAAAAAAAGGTTAATATGTAAATAATTAAACTTTATTATGGACGACCCTATAGGATCATCGCTTTTTGATACTTGTTTAATCAACTATTTATTAGGTATGATCTCACAAGCTGATCCGTGTTTATATTCTTGGTAACACGGAATTTAATGAGATTCGTCCAAAAAATCCCAAGGCCCTACTGATGTAATATTATTCCGAAATCATGATCCATAAATATTTATTATCGAAAAAATATCAAATAATAATCCTTTATTAGAATAACAAACAAAAACATTAAGTGAAGTGTATGTATGATTAGATATGATTAGATATAATTTATATTTAAAAAAAATTACGTTCACAAGTTATAAAAATATATAAATTATTATATTTAATAGGAAAAGATGAAAAAAAAATTGTCGTCATTTGTTAAATCTATTTCTATCTATGAAAAAAAAAAAAAAAATGTTATTAATATAATTAATTAAAAACAAAAACCAATAATATAAAAAATGTCGACTAATTTATCCTCAAGTTTTGATTGGTTTACCATTACTTCCAGAAAATTATTAAAGATTTCCATTATTTCCATTATTTATACAAATACCAAGTTAACATAATGGGTTTTCAATCCTTTTGTGTTTTTTTTATAATGTTAAATTTTGAAACAGTTTTAATTATTAATCTATAAAAAGAAATGTTTCAAATCATGAATTGATGAATCAATGAAAAATTAATATTCGTATTTTTGATATTATTTCGAAGTTTCTATAAACATTCTCAGGACTCGTGTAAATTATATTCAAACATGATTTTTTTCGATGAAAGTTTTCTATGAATTATTTTTCTTTTTATTGGATAAAATCTCATTTTTTTTTTTTAAAAAAAAATATTCATTAAATAACTTTCTAACAAACGAATAATATAAAATCTTGGTAAATATTAATAATTACGGTGAAACTTATCATATTCATAATTTTTACAATGAATTGGTTGTTTAAATTTTGTATATGATTTTTAATTCTTGTAACTGGATAGATCCGAACTTTTAGATTAGATTATCCTTCTTTATAGAAAGTATTTATTATTGTTCGAAACGATTATTGTTATTGCCAAGTGACCATATGATCTCATATCGTAACAGTATATGTCATATTATTGTGCACAACTTATATTCGGTGTAGGAAAGATCATGATGCCAAGTATTTTGCTCAGCGGGATATTTTTAGAAACTATATTGATTGTTGTCATGTGCCACGCAGTGGCACAATGACAGTCGATAATCATTCAACATCGATTTATACTTCGTGCCTAATAACTGGATTTCATTTGCAAGCGCACATGACCACACAGTTTAAAATGCATCCTGCGGATCGCCGCATCGTCTGAAAAAAAACAAACGTCATATTAAATTTACTCGCTCAAATTCTAAAAAAAAAAAATTAACCTTCTATGCCCTGGCTACAAGATTTATTAATTATTATGTTTCATAAGTTTAATATGGTTTCTATTATTAAACTTTTTTTTGTGGATTATTCTTTTAAAGCAAAACAAGTATCATTATTGCGTAAAAAGTCTGAAATATGAACTTATTATTCGATCACCGCATCGCACGGTCGCACAGATTTGGTCATGCGTCCAAACAATGCTGCAAAAAATACATTTGTAAAATTTCTTGATTGTTTTTTCTCCCACGTCTCTTACGCTCACGATGGACTCTTTTCTTATTTTTGATGGCTTCGAGCGCAAGTTTTACATAGTCGATTCATTTGAGCAATTGACTAATTTGGTACTATATTCTTATCTGCATAATTGAGAAATCGACAATAATTAATTAACTTTCTTCTATATTTTAGTTTCCTTCGCTTGCAGGAGATCCCTTAGTAAAAAAATTTCTTTCCGATATTCACGACATTAATTTAGAAAAATCAGTGACAACATTTATTACGAACCTTAATGAAGTTTTAAAATGCTTGGGAAAAGGCGCAATACAAGTATCAAAAATTGTTCTTCAAACACTAGGAAGGATTTTTAGAATGGTTTGTCACAAAGTTGTGGGGTTACCCATTATTTTATTTCGGAAGATTAAGCAATCCATATGCGATATATACGATGAAAGCATTCAACTATTTATTAAAATGTTTAATAAATTACTTGAATGCAAAGAGTTTTTAAAAGAGGTATGATAAATGAATTTTTAATATGGTTGACTAGTGATTATCATTCTCAATTAACTTAACTTATCCTTTCAAAGGCATATCACCTTTCATTGTCAATTTTGGCTCTTACTTTTACTTTCAGCTCATTGAACGATGCTTATACGCAATTTATGCGAGATGATGGCGATCGTATTCCTTTGGACGACAATCAAAAACAAAAGTTTAAGGATTGTCTTGAGCGTTTACAAATCATTTTAGAAGATATCTGCAATAATTTGAGTAACATCTGCCAAAATTCGCGTGACAATACAATTTATGTCGAATTTAAGAGTAAATAACGTTTTTTTTATTTCTTTAACATTACAATATTTTTTATTAACTGAACACAATTAACTTTATATCATTAGATAATCTTGATATTCTCCAAAATCGCCTAGAAGATTTTACGAAATCTGTGGATTCAATAATCATTGACTTAAAACCCAAAATTCAAAAATTTCAGAGAGAGAAAAAATATAGATGGTTTAAAGCTGGCGCATCAACAGTGTAAGTATTATTTGATTGTATTTTTGATTTTACTTCGAAAAAAGTTGACAGACTTCGTAAAATTCTTTTCTCCAGTATCACTATTGCCTCATTTGCTGTAGGTGGTCCATTATTGAGGGTATGTTATTTCTTTATGATGTTTTGATACAATGAAATTTGTTACAGCAACAGATTATTCTTGTTACCTACACTATACATAATTCTATATTTCAGGTTGTTGGTGGAGCATCTGGAGGATACGCAATTTATAATGGCATTAAAATATATAAACTTCATAACATCATTAACGAACATGAACAAGTTCGAGATGTTATCAATGACACACAAAAATTCTTAGAAGGAACACGTGATTATATAGATATTATTGACCCGGACGATTTAGAAGATCAATCACAACCACCGATTATTCTCGACCAATTTACACACCTCCGTAATGAAGTTAAGAAAATGAGAAGCACATTACCTTCTATTTTTCAATGATATCTTACAGAGTATACAACATATTTTTCTTGAAATTTGAGAGTTTTTAATAAATATAAAGTATGAAATTATGTACTTTCCAATTACTATTATAAATATCTATTTTTTCAATGTAAAGTTCTCAAAAAAAAAAAAATAATAAGTTTATAGAAGACGTGTAGACGACGTGTGTTTGTTTTTATCAGTTATCAGAACAATAAATTTATTATTACTAAAATAATATGAGTATTAAAGGCTACAAGAAATCGAGTCTGCTCTGTAGGAATGCGCAATAAAAAGCGAGCTAATGGAGCAGAATAGTAAATAAGGTCCAGATAGTTATCTTTAAAATATATATAATCACATGTACAATGTCGCGTTCAGGCTTGAAGGATATACAATTATACATTAGGTTCAACCCAGGTCCTGTCCTATAAAAGATTTTATCCGTAATTTCTGTAAAAAGTAAACACCCGTGAATATGATACATTTATGGAAATAACATGGGATAAAAAAACATGGAATAAATTTTTATAGGGAGGATTTAAACAAGCGCATTTTAATAAGAAACATTTTTAAAACATGCCTATAAATTTATTTTTTTTAAATACAAATACTGTATGTATGTTATATATAACTTTTAAATAATTTCTGTATAATTTTTATAGTTAAAAAAAATGTCCAGAAATTGTCCGGATTCCCGGAAAATGTCTGGAATTGAAATTGCAATATTCCGGACGCCAAGATATTTCGAATTTCCGGAAAATGTGTCCAGAAAATGTCTACAAAGCTCAGGCCTGATGTCCAGAAAGTAGTAATTTTCTGGACATTTTTCATTTTCCGGTCATTTTCGATAATAATAATTTCTTTTTTTATAGGATGTATATTAATTTGCGAATTTCTACAAGCACGAAAAACAAGATTTTATTATCAGTTGAAATATAAGATAATTTAAAATCAGTCAAGGAAAAAAAATATATATTATTTTATATGATCATTGGCCGATTCCAAAGTATATTCTGGTTTTTGCCGGATATGTGCAATAATTTATTAATAACAAGGAAAATACTCCCTCGATCGTTATTATAAGTTATTTTTTTTTTTTTTGACATTAATTCTCACTCGACAATAATCTGTATCTGTAGATGAAAATAACTTGAAGTCTGAATATATTAAGAAAGGGATAAGTGCCTTTTTTAATTTTTTTTTTTTTTACAGAGAAAAGGAAGATCAGAATTCAAATAGTTCAATGACTCTGATGTATGAGGGATATCCTGTTGTACATACATGTTTAGATCGCTTGTAGAAATAGAATAACTTTATATGTATTAGCGTTTATTGCTTTAATAAATCATACAAATAAATTAATAATTGAATATCGCAGTTTCATAGTGCTACAATATACTGTACATTCAGTAGGAAAGTATACGAGGATGTGGATGAGCTGGATGAGCTCAGGTCGATTATAATAATCTATTGACAAATAAATTCTATCGGAGATATGTTTTTTGTTACTTTAAGAGAATTAATTAATTCATTAACAGAATGATGAAAATCCACTTTATGAAGAATGAGTAGTTTGCTTGGATCAATACTTTTAAATTGAAATGGCCACCGTTCCTTAATCATGTGCCTAAAAGAGCCAACCCGTTCATCAGTGGATATCTTATGAAATGTGAATTTCACCTTAATTTATATAATATATAAACTAAGGTTGCTTGCCAAAACCTAGGGGTTTAGTACTGTGAAGATATCGTTAAGTAATTATACAGTTTAGGGTAAATTCACCAATCGTATTATAAATCCTATATTAGAATTCAAAGTCAAACAAAACATTATAAAAAGAGATACTTACGAAAAATTCGTAAAATTATCCATAATTTATTTTATTTTTGAGTACATCAGTACAGCATTTGTTGTGCGTCGAACAATATTTAATAAATACGTGACACATTTTCGTCCAATCTTTCGGTCATAATGACCATATTGAGCATGACTATTGAATTTGTTTTGACGATCAAAATATGCATCTTTCTAGGATCCGTTCAAAATCCCGAAACTGAAGGTACATTATCCGACACTCAAAATCCAGAAATGTCAAAATCCTAACTTGTCCTGAATTGTCATAATCCCGAATTGCCATAATCTAAAGATGGTCATCGGTCCTAGGACTGCCGGTCTTAAGACCGGACCGCGGTCTATCGGTCTTTTCGGTCCTAGCTGTTCCGGCCAGAATTACAAGTATAACACAAAAAATTTTTGCGTTACAATGCCAGAACCAGTAAAAATTTTTGCCGGTGGCCAAATTATACTGATCACGTGATTTCAATATTTAGTAATTCCGGCCGACACTATCTGGCCAGAATTAGCCCAGGACCAGTCCTACGCGAGACGGTCCGGTCCGTCTTTTTGGGTGTAGGACCGATAAGACCGCGGTCTTCTAGGACCGATGACCATCCTTACCATAATCCTGACACCACATAATACTGGTTTTCTTTCTTTTATTATTAAATTTCAAGATTTTTTTCATCTCGGTATTTTTCATTTCGAGCTTATGAAGTGTCGGGCTTATGAAATGTCAAGATTGTGGCAATTCGGGATTTTGACATTTCGGGATTTCTTACCAAACCCATCTTTCTCATTGGGAATTCTAGTATCTAATAATTTAACTGGTATTTTGAGAACCCTGCTAAAAAAAGTAATAAATTTTTTTTCGGTCTTATGCCACACTAATTCAGTTCATTGTTGAAATAATTTTTGTAATTTCTAGGATAACAACCGATTTTGTTATAGTCAAATTTATTTGTAAAAAATTTAACTATCATGTTTTTTTTGAACTCATGTTTCTTGAAGATAATGCCGGGCAATCTAAATTATTAGATTCCCCATTCTCGTAATCCCGTATCAATTTTTCAAAAATGATAAATTTTATTTTATATATACTGTGTAAAAGCTTTTTACTTGATGCGTAAAAAAATTTGCCTAAAAAGCATAAAAAAAAATTATAACTTGCTTTAATGTGAGTGAGCTGTTTCTCTTTACTAGACGAACTTTCTATTCCTTATACGGGTTCTATGTACCTTTCGTTGTTTTCTTTATTGGCAAATTTCAGAAGACATTCTAGATTCTTTCACAATGATTCAATTAGTGTTTCGGGCGAAACTTCTGAAACTGGCGAAACTAGTTTCATCACTGAGTACAAAATCCAAAACTGGCGTAGTTTCTGAAGCTGGGCAAAGCTTGCCCAAACTTCCGTAACTTCCGTAACTTGACAAAACATACTTTATCCAGTGTTGGCACATGCCAAGATCATATGGCCTCGAAATATGATCTCTGTCATATGACTATATGACATATGAGTTATTTTGTATATTAAAAGTACATGACTTTTATACTGTTTATAAAGAGTAAAGTCCAATTTAAAAATTTATTCACGTGCATGATTTTAATTTAATTGGTGACTAAATTTATGCATTTACTTCTTGACCCACATAATTAGTCCGAAGTATAATTAGTCCGAAGTGTAATTAGCCCGAAGTGTAACGAAGAACCATATACTTCTACACAAAAGTGGCACAAAAATGTCGTATGTCCGTCTGCACGTGACGCTGTAAACTTTAACAGCACTTCGGACTCCAAGTTGATGTCATCAGGAGAAGTCCGTAATTTTGCATAGAAAATCAAGACATGTTTATACACAATGCGTTCCCTATAAAAAATTTTTTAGAAAATTGATATGTCGGAGTTTTTTCGGAATAAAAACTAGAAAATGATCATTTATCGGAGTTTTTCCCAGAAAATTTTTTGTGGTTTAATTGATAATAAACTTTTTTCACCGTTTTTGCAGCTAACATTTATCCAGAAAAAAACAAATACTGTATCGTGTTTGAAGTAAAAGTTTATTATAATAATATAGATAGGTTAATAGATAGTAGTGTTTAAGGAGCACACTTACTTATTCCCTTTCGTTTAACTTAATAACAATCAATTGTCACTTTCTTATAATGTCTACAGAAGACTTTACCTTTTTAACTCTTCCCCAAATGCGACTCCTAGGCTATAACTACATCAAAAAAAAAAGAAAAAATGCTAGTAAGTCCTTGCCGTATCACATTTCAAAAAAAAAAAATTAAACTTTCATTTTTTAAATTAAAATGTTTTATCTGGCTGCGAAAAAAGCCAACGAAATTGTTGACACAATTTGAAAAAGTTGCGTTTGGTTGTTTTGTTATGCTAATATATATCTGTGATAAAATCACATGCTATCATATGACCTATAAACTACCCCAACGGCACCCAGAAAATTCTTCGAACTCGGCCGGCGTTAAGCACTGACACGTGATCGAAGAACTTAGGATGTGATGAATAAAACGTGACAAATAGAATTTCATCTACTTGAAAAAATAAGTCCCTCAGATAAATAAATATAAACAGTGAAACTCGGACAGGGTGTGACGATGTGATAAATAAAACAGATCACGTGATCGAAGAATTTTTCTGGGTGCTGTTTGACCTATACGACTTATGATTGACTTTGTCATAAGATTCTTAATTCTGGCTGACATTATAAATTTAGCCAGAATTACAATTATTATGACAATTTTAGTTTTACAAGTTTCAGAAGTTTCGTTAAGTTTTGGAAATTCTGCAAGTTTAGACAGTTCCGAAATGGCCGATATCGAAACTTAAAATTGGAGAAACGTTTGGCCAATCGCAGCCCGAAACATTAATTTTAATAAGGAAAAAAGAATGTATTTTTAAAATAATAATGTATGTAAATAATACCAACCCAATTTTGTACAGTTATTATCTAGGAAGAAATAATTTCTTTTGAGCAAGAAAGATGTATAGCCAGTTCCTCATCCAGAATTAGCAGACCTATATAGAAAAAAGGTTACTTCCATAAACTAACAACCATTATTTCTAGAAATCGATTAGAAGGGGTTAATCAAAATTTATCCAAGTTATTAGTGAGGAAAGAAGTTAGAAAATAACAACCATCAAATTGTCACCTTGATGATTTACCTAAAAGTTTTTCTAAATATTATCATTGTTAAACAATTATAAGAAAATAAATCAAATAAATAACAACTAATTTTAATGATTTAATGCTTCTAAATTGTGAATAAAATAGTTTTTTTTTTTGAATTACTTATCTTTTTAAACATTTGAAAAAATTAATCATATTTTGTGTCATGTGAGAGAAGAGGGTGAAATTAGTAGTTAGACACTTAGATCTTACCTTAAAATTAAATTGTATAACTGATTTCAACAAAGATTGATATTAGTAATATTAGTAAATGACTTAATTCGGTAATCATATCATATTTATATCTACCTATTTAACTTATTCAATAAATTATAGAAATAGTGCTGATATATGGATGTATTAGTTAATTTAGTTATGCGAAGGCGTATAATGATAATGATGTTTTAAATTTCTCATTTGAATTTTCACATCGTATTGTTAAGAAAGTGCGATAAAAAAATTATTTGAACATTTAATGATCAGTAACTACATTTATTATCTTTATTGATCCAAAAAAAAGTATAGGAACGCATTTTGAATTTTGCTGGATAATTTCCTTTACTGCTGAATATATGTCTGTTAAAGAAATAATTGTCATACATATATTGAAATTATAATAAATAGTAATTGACTTGATAAAATTATCATTTGTTACAAATAAAGTAATAAGAAATCTCAGAATGGTAAATAATATTTATTTAATTTAAAATCATACATTCTTGGAAATTATGCTTATTAAAGCTATAGTACTTATCATAAAAATATTGACAAAGCCGAAAGATTACAACCATCTGTTGTACTCTTTTATTTCGAAGTGAAAATTCTACTCAAAAATGCGTGTATAAAAATATAAAGAGCATGTTTTAATGCATAGGAAAGTATGTGTAATACTTATAAAAGCCCTATATTCTTAGCATCTGAAAACATTTTTGGCGATAATTTTTTTGCTAAATATAGTGCCTCTTTTCTCCATTTGGTTTCTCCTTCATTAAATTTTCCTCTTATAGATCCTGCTAATTCTTTCAGTACCACGTCCCACCATTCCTTGGCTTCCTTCATTTGATTGAGTCTAACGTAATGGGATGCAATTTTATAGGCAGCATCGCTAGAGAATTGCGACAATTGAGCTGTTTTCTCGAAATTGTATATCTCCTTAAATACAAGAAGAGATTGAAGGACATTCCCAGTTCTAACATAAGCTTCTGCCAAATCAGACTTTAATTCAAATGAATGAAATTCTAGATCCGGATGTTTTCCTCGTAGTTCTTTTAATTCATCGATCAATTTTGTTAATTCTTTTATGGGAGGACTATAATTAGCGCTGATAAATGATAATTGCATTCGAGGTTCGAGAGATTTCTCATAAGTTTCAAGAATATTTGCTCGTCGAAGCTTGACTTTCTCTGACTCAGATCTATCCAAGTTGCAAAGTCTACATGAACAACTTTTTATACCATGTAGTCTAAGAGCGTAAGATCGTACTTCATATGAATTCACTGGACTACAATAATTAAGAATCAACTCTTTACCACTCAAAATAGGCCGACAAGTTCTTATAAACATCATATCTCCAATAACCAACCGGTCAACATTTATATCAACACATGAGTGATTGATATAAGATGGCAAGATCCATAACCCTGCTCCGAGATCTTTAGTTAATCGTTTGTTTTCTTCTGTGTGCCATATATCCCAATGTTCCACCAATTCAAAATAATTATATTTAATAATTTTTTCGATTCTCCTCACATCAACTGAGCATAATAAATCTCCACCAAGATTTTCTACTTCTGGACCAGCATAAAGCTTATAGACTTCCTGACAAAGATCTGGATCTACTAAAAGTTTTTGGGCAATGCGTTTCGCTAATTCTGAATGTGTAACTGTATTTATGGTTTTGGATGCAAAATCCATACTTACGTAGCTTAAGGAAGCCTCATTGCCATACACAACTTCGAATGCCTTAGAAACCATCAAAAGAGTGCCTTCAGGAATGTCTCGTTTGGCAACCAAACCTCTTCCCCTTTTTTTTACGGGACGAATCTCGATATCATCACTCAGAAAATCTGCATGGTCTAATCTTGGTCCTGTTCCGCAAATCCAATCACCACTGTCTTGATTAATTTTAATCTTTTCGCAAAACTCGTCAACAATCTTTGTATAATCATATTTTCCATACCGGCTTTCAGAATCCCATATATTCGCATGTTTTAATAATATTTCAGTACTTTGTTTGATTGAAGCAGTTGAATCATCGTTACCCACTAGCAGCCTTGAAACCAAATCTTTAAGTATGATTATAGCTTCTTGGTAACGTTTAAGACCACAAAGAGCTTTACCTTTGCGAAAAGCTGCTTTCAGGTGGCCGGGTTCATGTTTGAGAGCGATCTCCACATCATTGAGAGTTTTACCAAATTGATTCAATCGCAAATATGCCTCTGCACGATTGGCAAGCAAAGTGACATTATGTGGCTCTAGTTTGATACCACTAGTATATTCATCAACGGCTGCAGCAAAATCATTTGAAATAAAATATTTATTTCCACTTTGTCGAAAATCATCGGCTGATAAAATTTGCTTATCATCAGCTGCCATGACATTGATTTTTTTCTCTTTCATCTTCAGATTATTGAACCACTTTATATTGTTAAGCAGCTCATTATCGTGATCGATAACAATAACTTCATTAGGATTATCTGAACGAATAACAGGGTCAAAATGAGTATTAAGACTAGGCCCATCTGGACTAATTATGACGTCAAAACTGGGGATAAGTTGATAATATGGATTCTTGATCGCAAGTTTGGTACCTATGGGTAGAAACTTTGATGCCTCATGAATAGAAAGTACCTTTTTCCGATCTTTGACGGGAATAGCTGATTGTTCAACCCAATTATATAAAGCGATTCGGTCAACATTACCCTCAGGATCTTCTATGAGCGTAAAAAGGGGGTTCATTTTAACACATCTGTTTATCACTTGACACAATAAAAACTTTCCAGTATGTACTTTATCAATTTCTAAGCTTTCTATGGATATTCTATTATTTAACTCAAGGTTGATAGAATGTTGAAAATTTTGTCTGTATCCGAATTTGTTGGTTGTGATAAAATGCTGAAATTTTTCACTACGCATTCGTTCAATTTTATTCAACCATTCTTCATACTCTGCTATCAAAACTTGTCTGCTTTTTCTTTTTTTCATAGAATTTTCCAAGAATTCATTCATGGTGCTGTTTAAATTATTAATATTAAAGGTGGCCATTTCCTTAAGAGCATACAATAATTTGTCTCTATTAACAAGAAGAGGACCGGTAACAGTTACAAAAGGCAAAATTTTGTGGTGATTCAAACCAAATTATACAGTATTTAGGAATAATGATGATATCTCTCGTGTGAGAAAATAGAGAAAAACCATCATCCCATTTTAATTAAATAGAAACGCCTTATTTGTAATACAAAATAATCCCTCAAAACACGCATCTTTTTGGAAATTTTGCGTCATCTGTGTAACTCCCGGCAGAAAAATTCTCGCTTTTATAGCAGGTATGAAATTTACTTATATTTATATTATCATGACGGTATTTATTTAAATTTGTGACTTGAAATTTGAATAGCAATTAGAAAAAGCCATATACCTCCGTAGGTACGGCTTCGTACAAATTTTACAACGAATTAATTACCAGTAGTAATATTTAAATCAATTCGGAATGTAATAAGGTCACATGGTATTCATTTTTCCCGCGATGATCCCTTCATCCCAGCTAAATTGTTATTATCAGCCTGTATATTTCATTCCTTTTTTCTTTTTTTACAAACTTCTTCTTCACGCATTCATAATTATAATTAAAATTTTCCTCGTCATATCATCATTTTTTTAATACTGTACATACAGTAATACAGTTCATATGTTTATAATCCCGTTATCTTCATTATTTAAACAAGGTTAATGGTATCATTCTGTAAAAATCTTTTTTTAATAACTATTTATGTGACACCACACACGTTTTGCAGTATATCTGCGCCACAAAAGTATATTCGATGGTTCAATCAAAATCAAGAAGAAACGATCAACTGCGTGATAGTTCTCAGCTTATTCTCTGTTGAAAATTGAATCCGTATCTTAAGCATTATTATCTAAACATACTTTGGGAAGTGTTGTACTTAATTCACGCAAAAAAAAGATAGAATATTTTGAAATACAGTATGTAGATATAATTTACAAGCATATGTTAATTTAGTTTAAAATATTACTAAGAAAATTAGTAGATATAATTAATTACAATTCATAATAAAAGGGCGATTATAATCCGAAATAATTTGAGAATAATATGATATCAGAATATTTTATAATCATTTGTCAACACTTTGTTTTACTTGTTGAATCGGTTAAAATTAAATTTTGAACTTTAAATCTATGATACTTCTCCATATATATCATTTCTTTAAAACTTAATTCTTTTTATTTATGTCCTAAATATTATTAGCTTTTCATTTATATAACATATATTTATTTGCAAATTTATAGTGGTTTTATAAATCATAGTCGGTATACTTCTTATAGTCGACATACTTCTTATATTAAATTCATCTTATTCAAGATAACTTATTAAATTCGACTATTTTAAAATTTCACACAATCATCCTTGAAAAGAAGTACGAGTCCTTATACTCGTACCGCAAGAGAATATATTTTCGGTTATTAACAATAAGTATATGCCAAAAAAAAGATCACGTATTTCTTTCGTTTTAGCAAGATAGACACTATTATATCGCATAAAATAAAATTTTGTTCATATATATTATGCAATTATATGATGACCTTATTATATAAAATAATCCTTTGTTGTGGCTCTTAGAACCTGATAAACCATTATGACGAAATAAAAATGATTATTTATAAGACATGATTTCTCTAGAATTTACCGGCAAAAATTTGGAGATTTCCCAATCCCATAATTTGTGGATTTTTGATAACAATAAAAGTGTATCTTCAGATCACACGTTTTCTGCTCATTAACTGGCTACGTATTCCTTTTTTTCGAAAGTAATAGTATTTATTATACGAGTGATCAGTTTTTATCAATAAATAGCGGGTTTTGGCGCGACATAATTAGATATTTTTCAAATTTAAGGAAGGGAGAATTTTTGGCGTAGTAAGTTGGAAGTAATGAACTAGATGAAATACTTATCAATTACTATATAAAAAATTTGTATGAACAAATTTATTAAAGATAATATATTATCTACAATAGAATATTCAATAAAATAGACAAATTATAACATCAATTTAAACGTGCGCGTTCCCAGAGAACCAGTCCATTCATAAGTTGTACAAGCAAGATTACTGTTGCCGAAACAGCATATAACTGAAAGGTTTGTAAAATCTGCAAAGGATGAAATGTTTTAAATTGCCGATAAAATTCCTTTGTTGAATAATTTCTTTTTTTTTTTATTATGATTTTAAGACATAATTTTTGATTGTAAATGAAGATTATTTGCTCAATCGTTGATCGCAATTTTTATTTGAATTGATCGTGATGATTGAGCAGGATAATTTTGAGTCAAGGAGAATGATAAACTGAAACGCAAAAAAGTCGATACAGACAGGCTGCTATTTTCATCACGGAAATTATATTAGGCTCGAAACTTATGGTCAAGCCGTATTTGTCTTAAATTTTCATTAAACTTTACTACACAACAGTATTACACTCATAGTACAAGAGAAACAATTATACTATGACGCTATGTGGCCAATCTCAATTGAGATTTATAAATATTACGCTTGTATAAATCATCACTGCAATAGAGTCTTATTTTCTTTGTGAGTCACATGTTTATATTATTATAATATCAGTTATCTTTGGAGCTAAATTAGTCGACGTTTACTTTCTATGAGCGAAGAGAAATATGTCAAAATTATTACTGACGATTATTATGTGTAATATTATATAACTATGAACCATAACTGACAAATGCATCATGTTATGTGTGTGCTTGAGTGAAGATAAAAGATTTGATTCTAACTGCACAGTCCAAAGAAGATTCTTGAAGAGTACAAGTATTATAAATATAGTTGAAAGAAATTAAAAAATCGAGTGATAAATGAAGCTGAAAGAAAAGTGTATTTCAGAAGGTCAGCTTATTACCGAATTACTTAAAATACCAATTGATTTGCACGAATTGGTTTATTCTGATTGTGTTATCATATTACTATATTAATGTATATTCTTAGTCAATATGAAAATCCTAATCAAATTTAACAAATTTTTATTTTCACATTAAGCAAGATATTTTCATTGTTAGATGGCGCCCCTAAGATTTCGGTTTAAATCAAATGTATAAGAAAGAGGTCCCATCAATTTCAACAACACTATATTCAAATAATTCGAGAAATACTTATTGATACTTTGTTGGAAAGAATTATTAATAAAGATAATTGTGGAGAATTTTTTATTGTGAAACCATTAGGTATCGGGAAAAAAATACATTAAGGATAGCAGAGTGTCCACCGGGATTTGGATTATAACAACTGGCTAAATTAATATTTATAATAAAGTGATTTACTTATTATTTATTAAATTTAATAAATAAAATAAGCGATAATACGCAAATACTTCATAAAAAGAAAGAAAATGTATACAGTTAGAATCATTATACAGAATACCAAAAACATTTTTAAAGCTTATACAGTCGCCACTGGTTATAACGAACCTGTTTGTACCGAAATCTCGCCGGAATTTCCAAAACCCGATTTTTTATAAATAATTTCACTGGATATAACGAACTTTTATAATAAAGCACTATATAACGCGTCCGAACCAGCCCTATATATTAGCCATATATCTTCTATAACGAACAGTCATGTGACTATATACTAATCCAGGCCAAATTTATAGTGCCGGCCGGGATTATCAGTAATTTTTTCGAAAAAAAAATTTAAAATTATAATTCTGGCCAGAACTACAAATTTGGCCTAAATTGTCCAGAAGTTCGGTATATTATATAATGAATTCACTATATACCGAACTAACCCTCCTGGAACGGAGGGTTCGTTAATCGTTACATCCAGTGGCAGCTGTAAATTTTATACCTTTAATTCTCCCAGACTTTGTCCAAAGCATGCGAAATAAGACTAACAGTTAACATGCAAAAATTTTATATAAAAAAAAATATATTAAATATTATGTCTAAAATAAACCTTTAAATGTTTGTTACAACGTCGACTCAAAACTACTGTAAACCAAAAAAATAAGATATTCTTTATTTCACATTCGCCAAAAAACACAAGATATTCGCGAGGTTTTAGAAGTTTTCTCAAAAATTTTTAAATAAAAAATCATTTTTTAAGTTAGTTTAGTATTGTGGCTTTTTTAATCATAAGAATTTTATCCCTTTTATGTTAAATATTACGAAAGTTTATATTGTACAGAAAATTGGTATTAGGGAGCATTTTTTCTTGGGCATTTACTATATTGTAGATCAATATTCTACCCTTAGGGCGAATAAGCTGGATTGTGCATAAGAGGATTGGCTTGAAAATTTGAATTTGAAATAAACATTTGATCATATCGGTTTGTGTGCAAAAGTCACAAAATTAAATATGACCGGAATGGTGAAGCGAACAGTAGTTCGGATGATTGCTAGATAAAGTTATGTTTCTTTTTTGAAGTATGACTGGATTTTGTGATGTTTTATTACATAAAATAACATGTAAATTAAATTATAATTGCGTTAAAATGCTTAACGTGAAATTATGTAATATTATGGATGTGCGACTTATTCATTGAAAATACAATATATGTTTTTTCAAATTAATGTAAGCTCGTGCGCTGGATTTTTCAACCACATTTTATGAAATGATAAACGTTAATATGACGGTCTACTTATTTTATTTGTTGCAGCATTTAATAAAAAGAATTAGTGGTAAATAGATTGAAATTGAATTTATTAACTTACAAATATAGGTCAAATAGATTATAAATTCACGTATAAGTAAATTTTATTTTTTTTTATTTTAATAATAGTTCGAATTTTTCGGTATGTTAATTTGTATAATAATATTGCTAGAGAAAATATATTTAAATATTTATGTTAAATATAGTATAGTCATAATGAAAAATTTGTTAAAATAATAAAATATGAATTAATAATTTTTGTATAATATTTTTTTTAATATTTTAGAATTATAAAAAGTCATAAATGGAAATAAATTTTATAAATATTGATAAATAATAATAATACAAAGAAGGATTAATAAGAATAATAAGGAATAATTTAGTATCATCTTAACGTAAAAGATGATCACTCCTGTAAACAAAAAATGTGAAACAGAAAGTACTTTTACAAATGCATAAAGGCTGAATGTACAGTACAAAGTAGATCATACTAAAAGTTCATAGTTACGCAAACACATTTCGGAGTTAAGAATCCATTATAATGCATAAAATAGTCATTTTCCACTGCAATTCATAATTTTCCTCTTTACATTAAAAATTTTTGGCTCTATGTCTGCTATTCGATATGAATCAATTCTTGCTGCAATCCAAAAAGCAAATGAATTAACAGATTATTACGATAATTATAATGATTTAGATACACAACATGAATTTCAAAAACAAATAGTGCTTGCTGATACATCTCTTACAGAAAATGAAAAAACTGAAGCGATAAGAGAATTAAATAAGATTTATGATCGGAATAAAGTTCTTCATAATGAAGGAATAAAAAGGATTTGTGAAAATTGTAACCAAAAATGTTTAGCTACATTATATTGTGAATATTGTGTTCGAAATTATCTAAAAGGGAATTTTCCAAATTGGACATCTGGAAATGATGACGTTGATGATTTGATACAAAAATATCAGATGGAATCATTCAGACCTGATAATATAGTTGAATGGATTCCATATAATAATTTACAAAATTTTGAATATTTAACAGAAGGTGGATTTTCTGAAATATATACAGCAACTTGGATTGATGGAAAATATGAAGAATGGGATTCTAAAGAAATAAAATTAAAAAGATTTGGAGATATTAAAATAATACTTAAAAAATTAGGAAATGTTGAAAGTGCAAACCGAAGGTGGTTTGAAGAGGTTTGTAATCAAAGCATTATGAAACTTTTTTAACCTTAATTAATAAGCTTTACTGGTATTTTGGCAGGCTAAAACACATTTAACCATAAGCAATAAATGGCCACAATTTGTTCAATGTTTTGGTTTAACACAAGATCTATCAAATGGAAGTTTTATGCTTGTAATGTATAAAATGGATACGGATTTAAGAAAATATTTGCAACAAACGCACAATCAACTTACATGGAAAGAGAAAATTAAGATAGCTTATGGTATAATTCTTGCACTTAGTATTATTCATAGTGAAAATGCAATTCATAGAGATTTACATTCTGGGAATATATTAAATTTGCAACTAAATCAGAAATGGTATATTAGCGATTTTGGATTTTGTGGTCCTGCTGATAAACCGCTAAATTGTATATTTGGAAACCTTCCGTATATAGCACCTGAAGTTATTACTGGAAAAGGGTATACTTTTGCATCTGATATTTATAGTTTTGCAATGCTTATGTGGGAAATTTCATCTGGACAACCACCGTTTATGAATTATGAACATGATTATATTCTTGCAATAAAAATTATTGATGGTAAAAGACCAAAAATTGTATCAGGAACTCCATTAAGATATGCAAATTTAATGAAAAAATGTTGGGACGCTGATCCAGTAAGAAGACCTGATATTAATACACTTGTAGGCGAAATTTTTGATATGTATGAAAATAAACTAGACGAATTACCTCAACCAAAAGCAAAGGATAAGATGAAAACGACAATACCTCAACCAAAAGCAAAGAATAAGATGAAAACGACAATACCTCAACCAAAAGCAAAGAATAAGATGGAAACGATAAGTAGCAAGTCGTTTACAAGTAAAATATATAACTTTGAAAATCTTCCTGAACCGAGAAATGCAACAGAAAGTAAGTCATGACTGGCAATTAATCCTTTACTAACAACAAAAAATTTTTTTTTATTAATATCTTTCTGAACTTAATTACTTAAACAATATTAGAAGAACAAATAGGTAAAGTCAATGAAATTTTTGTTTACTTTAACATATATTTGATTATTATTATTGATTCTATAATAATAATGTTCCCTTTATTATTAGCACCATTTTATATTAGTAGATCTTATGACTTTAGTAGTTCTGATAATAGTGATAATAGTAAGTAATTATTAAATTACCATTAGATTTCATGTAATGAAATATAAAGAACAGACTTTAAAGCTTTATTATATCAAATATCTGATTAATATTTCTTTTAGTTTCAAGTAAAAAATTATCGAAAGTATTTAAAAAATTACAGATAAATTCAAAGAATGGCAAGTAAAATATTTAACATTTCAATTTAAATTTTTTTTTTAAGACAAATACTATAAAGTAATTTGATGAAAAACATTCAATAAATGTTATAAAATCAAATTTTAAACCAAACATTAATTTACGATTAAAACCTTAATATTTAAATTAACATGTAATTAATTTTAATCTTTTTTATTTTTTTTTTATTTTTAGTTGATGATTTTAATAATTTAAGTAATGAGAAAAATGTTAACACAGAATCAAGTGAATATAAAGGTAAATGCTTATTATTAAATTTGATATTACTTTAAAATAAATTAATTAACTTTTATTAAATTTTCTAAGTAGTTGACAAATCAGAAATCAATTCAAATTATAGCAAGTGGATCATATTAATCTAATTATCATAATGTTATTTAATTAAGGTTATTTTAATAAAATAAACTTTTTTTTAGTTATGCAAGATGATCATAAAAAAGAAATTGAGCAACAAGCAAAAAAGCATAGTTTGGATATAAATGGTATATTGTTTTTTAGTATTTTATAGTAATAGTGGAAAATAATAATTTATAATTTTTGTTTTTGCTTTATAGATGATGATGAAAAGCAAGATGAATTGGAAATTTCTGGTAATGTATCTAAAAAAATTAGGACATCCTAAAATTTATTAAGTATTATTTTTCAAAACTTTTTTTATATTATGAATTAAAATTTAAACCAATATTTATACATATTCAATTATTTAAACACTAAGACTAGAGTAGCAAAATAACTTGCAAATTTCTTAGTATGTAATTTAAATAATTTATTTATTTATTTTTATTTAATTTATCTTCAAAAGAACTTTCAATAATAAATAAACTTGTATTATTGTTGCAATAATTATAATTTTATTTTGAAATTTGTCATAAAATAAATTAGGACGAATATTTTGGAAAAGAATTGGTCCTTTGTTAATTATAAGGCAATATCATGTAAACGTTCAGATTTATTGTTTGTCCCTCTAGCAAAAACCATGTGATTGGACGATCTGCAATCACGTTGCAACTTACCGTAGTAATTTTACAACTTCCCTCAAAAATTTCACTATCACGTGACTTTGGCCCGCATTACGGCATTATGCACTAACGTGTGAAATAAACAGTGACAAATAATTTGTGACAAATAAGTTTTTGCCCACTCGAAAAAAACGTCCCTCAGATAAATATAGTTTGCATGCCTGTGATGAATATTTTCACTGTCACGTGATAGTGAAATTTGATGGTGTTACTGGGAAAAATCAGCAAGCCTGATCTCTATTTGTCGCCGCATTATATGTCACCTGTACTACCACGTTTAAAGTACTATTTATATTGTGACAGGGAATAGATAATAAAATAACTATTTCACATATTGCAATTTTTAATTTACTTGTGAAATGTCAAAACTAGAAGGAAATAATTTGAGGGTATAATATTTAATTGCAAGTCTTGTGTTTAATAATTAATTAACGCAATATTGATTTTATCGTATGTTCAACACTTTAGTATCAATTGAATAATGCTATAGATAACGTAATAACGGAAAGAAGGATAATAAACAAACTCCATAACAAACGTCATCGTTATCCAAAAATTCCTGAATTTGTTAAACTTATTATACTTCCAACGGATCTTTTTGATCCATTCAATAAGAAGCAAACAGATATTCGTGGAACATCTGTTATAAGAAAATTATATAAATCTTTCGATGTAGCTTGCATTCCAATTACCATACCCACCGAAAAAGATTCACCGAAAGCTAATTCTATAAAACAACAAATAGAAATAATGATTAAACTAAATTCTTCACGCAATTTTCTCAAGTATTATGGGATTTCAAATACAATTGATACTCTTATAATGATTAAGGAATGGGCTGAATTAGGTAATTTAAAGGAAGTTCACGATAATTATAATATAAGCTGGAATGTAAAGGTATGAATATTTTTTATTTTTATGATAACTCAGATACGTGCAATTACTGAGACTAAACTTTTGATACTAGATTCAAATAGCACTCGATATTTGTCGTGGAATATGTTTTATGCATGAAAATAAAATCCTTCATCATAATTTGCAATGTGCAAATATTATGGTAATTATAGAACCTTTAAACATTATTATTTAAAGATATAATAATAAAACTAACAGAATATTTAATAAGATGTCAGGATATTGTGAACCTAGAATAACAAATTTTGAATATTCTTATTATATGGGCGATAAAACATTAATAATTCCAATTATAGATAATGTAATTAATTGGGCGGCCCCAGAACAAATTGAGAACCTTGTTTCATATAAATATGATACAAAATGTGAAGTATTTAGGTAATCTTAAATTTTATTAAATTATCAATTTTGTTTTATTAATAAATTCCTATTGATACAAAAAGATTTTAATTTGCAAGCTTTGGAATGCTACTATGGGAACTTGCTTTTGAAAGAATTCCTTATCAGGGTTGGGATGCACAAAAAATAAAAGATCATGTTTTAAAAAATAATAGAGAAAACATAGATTCAATAAAAAATGAAAAAGTTTATGAGGATTATTTTGAAATCGTTAAAAATGGTAAGTTGTACATAATTTTCTTACAATGAAATAATTTTTATGATATTTACGTATTTTTCTTTTAATTAGCTTGGAATCAAAATCCAAAAGACCGTGATCAGTTTACAACTGTTTTCAATAAACTAGAACAGTTGGCTTTTAGTTATTATAATAATGGAATTTCTTTGAATTTAACTTCTAAATTCGCCCATCATTTTACTACTAAACCTACTGATGAGTTAGAACTTAGAAGCGAGAGCAAAATTGTGGATTGAAGATATGATTGAAAAGAAAGTCATTAAATCAATAAATTGGTCTGAATTTAAATCAGATTCTGTTAAAGCAATTGGAAAAGGGAATTTTGGTTCAATAATTAAAACATATTGGACGAATGGTCATAATTATGTAGTATGCAAAAAATTAATTAACTCATCAGATATTCAATATAAAGAGTGGGAAGCATTTAAACATGAATTACATATGCAAAGTAGAGCACATAGTTGCGAAAATATTATACGAATTTTAGGAATTAGTAAGAGTAAGTTACGCCTAAATAATGTATAACTGATAAAGGTTACATGTCATATATATGCTTGTATATTAATAATTTTTTTTCTTGTAGGTGATAAAGATAAATACCATATTGTTATGGAATATGCTGATGAAGGAGATTTAAAACATTATCTTTCAAATAATTTTGAAAAACTTGATTGGAATGGAAAATTTAGATTAGCTTTAGATATCACAAATGGATTACAATTTTTACATAAAGAGAAAATTTTACATAGAGATCTCGTAAGTAGTTTATAAATTTTTCAAATTCTTACAAATTTATCTTAGTTAAATTTTTAAATTATAAAATGTAGCATGCTAAAAATATAGTAATACATCAAGGAAAAGCAAAAATAACAGATTTTGGTTATTCTAAAAGTATGAATACTGCAACAATTATACATGAAAAGGTGTTTGGAAATATTCGATATGTTGCTCCTGAAGTTCTAAGAGCAAGTAAAGCGAAACAATGTCCTTATACAGAATATTCTGATATATATAGTTTAGGAGTCTTATTATGGGAGATATCAAGTGGTCAAAATCCTTTTGAAGAACATTCGGACTATACAGTAATTGTAGCAATATTGTCAGGATCTAGAGAAGAAAGAATAAAAAATACTCCTAATGAATATTATGAATTGTATAGTAAATGTTGGAGTGATGAGCCTGAAAAGAGATGTACTATTGATTATGTTTATTCCAGTTTAAAGAAGTTATATAAAAAAGAAACCGATGATAAAAAAGAAGTTGACGACAAAAAAGAAATTGACAAAGGTAAGATAAATCAAATCTCAGATTTACTTTATTATTTTTATTAGTAGTATTAATAATCTTTATTTTGAAAATATTTTGTTCGGGTGACAACTTATGTTCAGGAGATTCTCTTTATTTAAGCAGTTGTGACTTATGACTTATCAAAAAATTGAATAAACGTCTACAGAATGGAATCAGAGTTTATATCTTATTAAATAAGCTTAATTTTTCATAATTACCATATCTAAAGAAAAAGTTTAATTTTCCAGACATGTGGACACATCGGAAAATGTTATTTTATCTTCTTAAAAATTAATTGCCGATCCGCATGTAATGGAAAAATTACCGCAAATTTGAAATTTGCGTTTCCCCCATAGATAAGTCGATCAATTTTTAACCAAATCACTTGAAATTTTTATTGAAAGGACTTTGAGATTTGATTTTTTTTATCCAAATGTTTAATGTGATTCTTATAAAAAAGATTTTAAAAATCCATCTATAAATTGAACAAGTCAAAATTACATATGAATTCTGCGTTTCCCTCATAGATAAGTCGATCAATTTTTAATCAAATTACTTAAAAATTTTTGTTGAAAAACCTTGAGATTATATCTTTTTTATTCAAGTATTTAATATTAATATTATAAAACATAATTTTACAAAAAATTCCTAAACAAAATTTGGCAATATTTTGAATAAATTTGCGCCACTTTTTTTTTTCCTAATAAAAGTACCGGCTAGAAGCCTCAAATTTTATAATTACATACTTTTACATATATTCTTTAAAAAAAAATTAATTGAAAAAATACGGATTTTTTTTTATATTTGATTTTAATGACTTCAAAACCTGTAAAAACTACCAAATTTTAAGCAATTATTGATTTTTTTGCGATTTTTTCAAATTTTTCAGTTTTCTAAGTTAAATAACTCTGCGGAAATAAATTTTGATGCTTTAAAATGATCTGCGCCCCTAAATCACATATTCTGGATGTGTACAAAGTGTTTATTTTTAGATTATTAAGTAAAATCAGGTTTTCAGTGGTCTATCGTTCACATTCGGACTAGCAATTAAACACAAATATTTCTCCAATTTCCCACAGCGCGTTAAAAGCACATTGATGGCTGGAATTATCCAAAAAAAGGAAGATTAAATTAAAAAATGACATCACTGAGACGAATTATTTTTTGATAAGTTCATAAAAACTGATACTTACTGATTTTTAACTTATACAATTATCCGAACGGTAAATGATCGAATTTTATATGTCTTAGTATCAACAAGCATTTTCAAAATAAAGTATAATATTATAATATAAATATCGGTATAATTTGTGATTCATATGGGACCCAACATATCGTTATATCGAAGTTTGACTGTATCTCACCTTTTTTTTGTCATTAACTTCTTTTATCGTCGACAATTTCAACAACTTTTGTCAATATTTCCTAATTTCTTAAAAACATTATTAACTCCCCTTATAACTTACGATAATCATCGAGAGTCCTTGGAACTTTTTCTTCTTTATATCTAATGATATTGATATAATAATATTTGTATATACGGATTTAAAGGGATTTTGAACACTTGATATCTCCCATAATAAAATCCATGGTATGTAGAATATCCTATATTAGGACCTTGTTCGGAATTACCATTATACTTTCAAGAGTCTTGCTTTCAAAATAACCAAAATATGTAATTTTTTTCATATTTATTATTTATATGCCGATTTAACAAGCTTTGCTTGTGAGCAGGACGGTTTTAGAAATTGAGCGACAATAATTTATAGTTCGATCTCGTGAGATAATAAATGCCCATAACTTTTTTAATAATTGTTTTAACAAGTTAGGATAGAGACAGAGATGAAAAAGATAATAACAGAATTGTGTGAATTATGTTTCGATAACATTAAGAAGTCAAGGTTATTTGTTTAAAAAAAGCATGTAATGGAAAGGAATAGATCGAATTGGGATGAGACATTAGCAAGTGGGAGTACTTTTTCAGAAGAAAATAATAAAAATCATAAAAATAAAAATGAAGAAAAAATAAAGCAAATAAGGATACAGGAATTAGGACAAGAAGTAACAAAAACTCAAATTAGTATAGATATTTTTTAGATAGTTTAAATAGAAATTTATAATACTTTTAATTAGCTGTAAAGATAATATTCTCTTAGGGGAGAAATGCGTTGTTAAAATTTAAAAAATAAAATAAATAAATAAATGCCGTAACTATCACGTGATCATCGTCATCTATCAATTTAATAACTTTCTTTTTAAAAATATCTTTAATCCATTCTCTTGCTCTTGTTTCTAATTCATCAATATATTTAACATTGATCACGATCCCCTAAGCACAATTTTGATTTTTGAGCTCATTTCATTTTTATATTCAACAATATTGAGTTCACCACTTAATGAAATTAATTTAATTTAAGCTCATGGTTTTTTTATCTGATACTTAGGGATGTTAATGGTCCAGTCCAGTTTGGACTTTGGACTGGTTCAGTCTTCATTAGTTTATGGTTCCAGGACCGGACCGCGGACCTGATCGGTCCCAGCGTCGGCCCTAAAAAAATCACGTGAAAGAAAAGCGGGCTGACACTAAAATTTTGGCCTAAATTACCCAAGAGCCAAAAATTTCGGTTTTATTGTCACATCCACATACCTCTTATTTTAATTCTTCGTAATTTTTCGTCTTTAAATTCTGTAAATAAAAAATACTATATCGGTCCGGCCAAATCAGCTGTAAGACCGGACTGTGGTCCCATATTTGATATAATATTAGTTCGATATTTAAACCTATGGTTCCTTTGTTTAATTCCGAATTTATTTCATATTCTCTCGATGAGTAAATCAATAATTGTACGTATCAGAGATACTTAAGAGTTAAAATGATTTCCTGAATATTTGGTTTTAACTAGCTGGTTCCCACTTCAAGTATTCTAATTAATTCAAGTAATATTTTAAATTTTATATAGAAATATAAATTTAAATAATTATTCTATAAAAGTTGTTATTTTTTTAAGGGGAGCTCCATCAATAAATTTTTCTCTTTAATTTGTTACAGAATACCATGTAATTTTCAATACACAATAGTTCGAGAAATTAACATATTAATTTTTTTAAACTTCCTTTTTTTACTATTATTATTATTATTCCATTTATAATCTTTTTTTTTTATATGTTCTTTAAGTGTAATTTTTTTTAAAAAAAAAAGTTTCTAACCGAGAAAATCCTAAATATGGGAACGCATTAGAGTACATATGCTAAACTTTTATATTTCAATTTAAACTTTAATAGTAAAATCAGATTTCTTTATATTGACAAATAATATTATAGGTTAATAATGAATTAATGTATTGTATTAGCTAAGTTTTTGATTCATAAGTGTAAACAAAGTATTTAAATCGATAATTAAATTCATTGCTCTCTCTCAAATCTCAAATTGCTTATTTTTTTAAAAAAATACTCCAAAACTTGTTGGCATAGAGAACGAGAGGAGAATAGGGAGATTAATGGCACTGAAAACTTTGAAGATATAAATAACGGGAAGAAGAGAGAGAACAAGAACTCGAAGCAAAAGAGGATAACAAGGTAAGAAAAAAATTTCGATTTTTTTTTTGCAAATTGAATATTATAATTTGTGTGTCGGTTAATAGTGTAAGAGAAGAAATGAATATAAAGATAATCGACCGAAAAAAAAACATGAAGCATTGTATGTTGAGTTTTTCTTATATCGGTTATTAGTCAGTTTAAACCGGTTTAATATAATCAGTTCGGTCCGATTAAACTCGGCCAATATCTCTAATGTCAATTAAAACTTTGCATCATCAAATATGCGATAAGACTAAAAAATAAATATACATATGGAATATTTTTACATTTTAAAAAAAATAAAATAAAATAACATAGCTGCGAAAATATTTAATTACAACTAGTGAGTTATTATTTCATATATCATCAATTTAACTATTTGTTACATTTGAATAAGCATAGTATAAACGAACATATTGCGAGATAGTCACGTAAATTGTTTGATAGATATTTTTATTTCATTTGATAATAATAACAAATCATTTTTTAATTTCGAAAGAAATGAGTAATACTGTTGATTTTAAAAAAGAATATGATACAATGCAAGATTAAAGGTATTTTTTTCAACTTAAATTTCGATTAAACAAAAATTCTAGAGATGCAGTATTCAAATTGCAGTTTATTAAAGATTGGATGATTATAAAATAAAGTTTACACAATGCTAATTCTAATAAAAAAAAAATTTAGATATGCTAACAAAATATTGTGGATTGCAAATTATATCAAATAGATTAATTAAAATTGTCAAATTATGAGTTGTTTCATAATTATATGTCCGGGTCCTCCTAATATAATTACCAATACTTTTCTTACTTAGTACCTTATCCAAGAACTCATCCATCTCTTTATCTTCTATTGATTTTCTATGATGGTCTGCAACTAAACTGAAGTTAGATGAATTGTTGTTAGGAGTATTATCACTCTGTAACTGCCTCTGTTCCAATTTCGTTACTCTTTCTTTAAGCTCGGCATTTTCTAGTTCCTTGATTCTGACCTTAAACTCAGCATTCTCAGTATGATCACACCTGGTATCCTCCTGATCTCCTCCATAATCTGCTTTAGGAGCTCTGCATTCCTGGCCTTAACCTCAGCAACCTTCTTTCTAAGTTCGGAAATCTCAGCACTTTTGGCCTTCTGACTGATCATTAACAACGTTAATGGCTTTTGTCAAGAAAAAATTTTTTGGAAATAAAAAATAGATACAAAGATTCGGAAGTAGCTCTTGATACATGCAAAAAAAAAAACAAATACAAAAGTTGAAAGCATAGTTCACCAGTACATGAAGTTTCTATGCTAAGGTCTATCTATCCTAAACTCTAATTCGTTTTTGTCGCAAGATCATCTTACCTTAAGAAAATCTGCTGCATTCGGTTTTTGTACCTTGCCCAATAATCAAGCAATATGGCAAAGAACCCTTTCAACCATACCTTTCATATAATCATATCCTTACTATCATATACGACAAATATAGGTTTTTGATAGCTTGAATCTGTATCGTCAAGTGAACGTCCATTCTTTCGCATCTGTAATAATTCTGAATATCTTACCACAAAATATTCTCTCTTCTATCTCACTTGCCTTACGCTTACGGTTTGATAAAGCTGATTCAAGTTGTACGGCATTCTGAGCAATGCCCTTTAAAAAATCTTCATCCTTCACTTCTGTCACACCAACAGTTTTTGCTGTTTGGAGCAAGTCTATTGCAATATCAAAATAATAAATTTTTTGATTGTAATTATAAACGTTTTATGTACACTATCAACGATTGTTTGTTGAATGTTACTAGATACTTTATTTTTTTAGTTTTATCGTGTTTTATTGTATTTTCTTTCCAGACATTAGGGCAGTTATCTGGTTAGATTCTGTTTAACCAGCTGGTTAACCAGTTAAAATAGTTATTCTGAATTCAGGATTATAATCCAGCTTTTTGATATTTTTTTTACGTAAGATTTTCTTAAAAAACATTTTTTATTTTGAAAAAATTCTCTTCTTGTATACCGTTCTTTGACATAAAGATAATGATGTCATCAAGGTGACAACCGACTGATCAAGGTAATGAAGACAGACTAATAGGGCATCTGGGTGTACCCTTGAAAGACAGAAAGAGAAATCATTGAAAGATTGTGCAACCTCCTGAAAAAAAAGGGGCAAACTTGTTTTTATTCCAGAAATGTCAAATGATTTTAAATAAGAAAATTAAACTTACCAAAAAGAAATGCGAGGTTATTTATTTTACTTAATACCTATTAATGTTTTATTAGGTTGAATGTTCACGATTTTAAACTATATTTTAAAAATTTAATTATAAATAATTTTAATATAATCTTGAAAATAATGAACAATAAAGTGAAAAGAAAAGGAAATACAACATATAAACAAATATAACTTTTTATTAAAATCTTAAAAATTTTCTGACTTGTTAATACCAAAAACGAAGATAAGAAAAATTTAAGAGAAAAATCACTAGAGTTCCAATTTCAATAAAATTATATATATTACTAATAGAGCTTAACTTACTTTTAAAATCAGCTGTGTAATACTTATCATGGATAAATTCATATAGATAGGAATGCTATACTTCTGAGCTTTACTTATTTTTCTTATTATTATTATATGAATCTTCTGAATTCCTATTAAATCAACAAATATTATTGATTTATTATCGGTTGACCTTTAAAGCTTATGTAATCATAGATTTATTACTGATTACTAATTTAATTTACGGAGAAACTTCATTCTTATAAATTGTTATAGCCGATTGATTTGCAAATCAGTTTATTGTCATTTTTCTTCTAATAAAAATGGTTTCTCTATTAAAAATTTTAATTATTGTTCTGCAAGTAGATGATGATGTACTGTACACAGTTAATTAATCGTTACGCGGAATTTTATGAGATTTGCACTAATGTAAAATTTGCAGATCCCGATAAATTCCTGCAAATTCCATGGGTCTGTACATAGCACAGCAGTGTACTTTGGAAATTCCAACAAGAATTGGCGTTGGCTTTATTGATTGAAAGGTAAATACAATCATTAGAAATATGCGAGTTTTGTAAGATTTTAGTGTCCAATATTTACCAAGACATCCAATATTGAAATCACTATTAATAGCAATTCCTATTTGATCACTGCTTACTGACAATAGCGCCTCAAACACTTAGATGTTGGAACCGACCGAAAAAAACCTTAGCTGATTAATAACCAGCTACCGTAATCGAACAATAATCGATTAATTAATCCGGTTAATTAATCGGTTAATTTATAATAAGATTACAGCTGATTTCATAATGTACGGGACATTTAGCAAAATTTAAAGAACTCGGAAATATTCAGTATAGCTTAATATAAAATAAAAATTATACGCTAATTTTGGAGTACTATTCCGAGAATGGTGGCTTTACCGAATATTTCCGAGTTCTTTAAAATTTGTTAAGTGTCCCGTACATTGTGAAATCAGCTGTAAATGTGTTTATACTATCGGCTGCGTTGAATTCGTTTATCGCGAATAAATAAGTATGACTGGTTTATGATTAACTTCGTTATATGTAATATCGTGAAATTTATAATAAAGTCGGTATATGGTGATAAAATTAATTATAGACGGTTTTGGTTTAAGTAAAAAGTTCGTTATGAGGCCAAAATCGGCCCGAATTGTTATATCGTGACTAATAAAAAAATGTTTGTGAAACTGTTATTCTAAATTTGTCAAATAATAATAATTACCGTATATCGCGGGCCATAGTACCGGGGGTATTATGGCCCGCGATATCTGTTTTGAGTTATTCATTACTAAATCAAATTTGATTGGTTGATCTGGGCTCCGCAGACTTAATCGTTTATTAACCTAAACATAATAGAAATGCTAAAAATAGAACGCCTGTAGAAACTTATAAATAAGCCGAAAAAAATGAGTTTTATTCTTTATTTTTAAATAACATTGCGAATACTTTAAAATGTCTGGATCCGGAATGACATATGATAAGTGTGTCGAATGTGCACGACAACGAAAAGCAGTAGCATGGTGTAGTGATTGCGATATTGCATTTTTAAAAGATAATTTTCGTAATTGGTCTAGTGGAAACTCTAAAATAGATGAACTTATCAAACATACTCAGTTAAATGCTAAAGAGAGTATGGATTATCTTGAATGGATTGATTTTGACCAATTCGACTTGATTGAAATATTAATAAACGAGGCGCTTTCAGCTCAATTTATTCAGCAGTATGGATGGAAGGCCCAAGATGGAATCTTGATGAGGAAGCCGAAATATGGACTCGTACTGGTCCAATTAAGGTTGCACTAAAGCGCTTAGATAATTCTCAAAATATGAGTCAGGAATTTATAAATCAAGTAAGTATAACAAATAAAATTGTCTTATTGACGAATTTTAAGAACTATAAATTTTACTTGAATGGCCCTTCCAAGCGAATTTTAATAAATAACCATAATAACATTTTCTCTAATATAAACACTTATTAAAATTCATTTAATAAAAAATTTTAATTCAATTTTCTTTTTCTTTTTTACTTACTTACTTAAAAAAAAAAAGTTATACAGATATTACAAATGCTTACAAAATGGGGCACTTGCAAATTGTTTCGGTATAACCAAAGATCCAGCATCGTGTTATATGTTCGTTTTAGGATATTATAAAAATGGTAACTTATATTCGTATCTCAATGAATCTATGGGAGTTCTTTACTGGAGAGATATACTGGATTACATGGACCTGCCGATAAACAAATATCTACACAAATTTACGGCGTAATACCTTTTGTTGCACCAGAGGTCTTTGATGGAAATACGCCGACCAAAGAATCAGATATCTATAGTTTTGGTATGATCATGTGGATACTATCAGCTGGGGTACGTCCTTATTGTGATAGACCTCATGATTCACAACTCGTTCAACAAATTTGCTCAGGATTAAGACCAAGTGTTATTAGTGGGACCCCACTTGTTTTCTCTAAATTAATGCTACAATGTTTAAATGCTAGTCCGTCAAGTAGACCAACGGCATCCCATATTTTCGAATATTTAGGAAATTGGATTTCCGATTTATCAAGCCAGTTTGATGATACTGATATTCCATTCGTAAATTTGGAAAAGTTAAGTCTTCAGTCCTCATTATGTCATGAAAATACCATCTATTATAGCCGTCCATTAAGTTCCATCATTAGTTCATTACTCAATATTGAGTTATAAAACGTAAAATTACCATATCATTTTTTTTTTGTAAATTTACACATACAATAATACGTTTAAACAATTCTTTATTTATATTTAGAGAAATTACAATTAGAACAATTGATTTATTTCATTTAGCGCATATTCACACAATCGGAAATTTCGTTTCTTTATATCAATACTCGTTTTATTTTATTGATAAATCGGATTTTTTTCTCTAGAACCAAATCCGAATACCGGATTTGATAATAACATTTTAAGCCTATGCAATTATGCCGACAATTTAAGATTTTACGTGAAATAATCGAAATCGGAAATCACAAATAAACACTTTTTATATTAAAAATTTTTTGAGGTAGTAATAATTTACATAACATTATAATTTATTATAAAATCGGAACTTTTATTTTTTAAAAAATTATATGTATATATATATATATTAGTACATAATTAGCATTAAGAAAACCATATATATGAAATAAAGAATAAATCCAAATATCAAACTTAAGCTGATATTGGGCAAAACGATGATCATGTCTATCAAAAATGATTGGTTAGATTGTGTTTGGAATTAATATAACATGAAAACGGAGACTAATAAAAGTCCTCCGAAAAAATTATCATAAAAATACACTATCACGTGTATCAAAAATACACAACAAAAAAATTTCGTACAAGGACAAACTATTCGTAAGCTAAACTAAATCGCGAACCAAACCGCCATTACGACAGTGTCACCCTAGTGTAGAGATATAGGGTGGTCCAACATAGTTGGGACCACCCTATACGGCTATACGCCTATACCTGCTCTCTAACCTATAACAAATCAGCTATAATAAAAATGATTCAAACCAATAAAATTAGCAGCAAGTGTGATGACCTTTTAGAAATTTTAGTGGAATACGCAAGCTTTGAAGACTCAGATAAAGATACTTCAATATTTTCAGTATATTCAGGAAAATTTCACCACTTTTTAAGGATGTAATATAAATAGAATTTCCTAAATAAGATTATTTATTTGGAAATATTATTAATATGTGAACCCCTAAAAATAAATAACAGATCATACACGAAATCTTTTTTTACACTTTAATCACGAACTTTTTATTGAAAATATGTCTAATAGCGAAGTAAGAAAAAAGCAAAAACAGGGTAGAATAGATTTTTTTTTTTTTTAAGTTTTAGTTAATTTCAGTGTATAAAATTTCTCAAATAATGTTTTAAATAAAAATAATCTAAATTTTCAATGTTCGTCGCACATGTCGCAGTGATTTATATATAAAATCCGGTATATCGAAATTTTGATATATCGGAAGTCTCGATATACTGGATATTTTTACTGGAACGGATGGTTCCGTTATATCGAATTTCACTGTGTAGTTTTAAATCGATAAAAGAATTTGAATATTTGGATTCATATTTATTGAACAAATTAAACGTTTACCGGATCATTTAAAAATGTCGCAAAAATCCCTTTCTACTTTAAGTATATATTCATACAGTAGCTGTTAGATTTTTTGCCAAATAATAGAGAGTATGATGTGTAACATATGTTGGTTTATGCTAAAGATTAATTGAAAAAGAAAAAATTGATATAGCATATGGAGATATTATTATTGAATAATGATTTTAGAAGAAATATTTTACATAACGTTTGTGACTCCTCGTGAATGACGCCAAAAAGAAAAAACAGATAAAACGAACCATTGTTATTTTACATTTTTATTTATACACTCTCATTTGTGATTAAATTATAATTTTCAAAATTGCAAATAAAAAAAATTATATAGGTGTAAGATTTCCCTCACATTTCACCACACACCCAATCCGCTAGCATGGAAGACAAGGATCAAATTCTTAAATTATGAGATCGAATATACAATAATATGTATATAAGCAGTGATGTGCATTGGAAGCTTCCAATAACTTTTTATTGGAATTGGGAGGCTTGGAATTGGAAGAATTGGAAGATTCTAATAGCTTCCAATCTTCCAATGTATGTAAGTGTCAACCAATCAATTATAGATCAAAGATCTTAAGATTATTGGCTAAGTTATATACCATGTGATCCGATTTTATATGATTATGTAACGATTGTAACGCGTTTCTTTAAAATTAGCGTTCGAAATTTTCATAAAAGTATAACAGCTCTTTCTTAACTAAGATTCGCTGTATATGTAGCATATGCAGGATGTGTTGAGTTGTGAACTTTGTAGTGCAGTAAAAAAATGAATATTTAAAAGTTGACGACTGAATCTTTAAATGTGGGGTTGTGCCGTTTGTGGACTGCAAAATTCCAAGGAAAAGTTTCGAAAATTAACTTTAGAAGCACTTGCAAAAGTGCAAACTAGTTCTACAGTGTCTTTATTGACAGTTCAATTGCAAGATGATCAACTTTGTATAAACATTATAATGAACTTGTTTCCTATAAATGAAACATATTAAAAATGTGTTGACAAAGATTTATCATACAAAGGAGCAAAAAGAATTTGTTTAAGAGAAGAAGTGTATCATGATTTGTTAAATAATACACACAATCTAGAGATTTTAGAGCAACGTGTTAAAGTCTTAAAATTGGAATTAACTAAATTACAGGAGTCTTCAACTAATGGTAATGTTAAATACTAGCGTTAGTATATAGCATTATTATTAATAACGTTAAATATAAATAGAACCTGTAAAATTTTCACAGTTCTTTGGTGATCAAGTAGCTCGCGTGACCAATATATTTTATCGTCCGATAAAGTTTGTGGAGCCAATTGAAAGACAGGATATCGATTTTTTGATACCATACAACAAAACAAATACTTAGGCAAAAAGTGATGATATTATGCTCAGCATTACGTAATAAGCAAGTTGGTGGAACGAAAACAGCAATAGGACTTCTTATGGAACCTCGAAAAAATGTCGTCAACACTTTAGCTAATATGGGAAAGAGTTCAACGTATCAAACTGTTTATAGTATGTTTAAAAAAATGCGGAAAATCATAAACACATATATTAACAGTCATTTAAGTTTATTCTTAATTATTTAAAGTTTTTTTTTTAAAAAAAAAAATTGCGATTTTAACATATTTTATTATACATGTATATATAGTTTAATAATCTTATTGGCTGCATTGTTGACCGTAACATCAATTTCACAAATATCACTATGGCGACCATATTATTCAATAATGTTAAAGTAACTCCTATTCCTATATTTCTTCAAGTAATACTTCTATACATAATCCTAATGGAGTTGATGCCACTATTTTAAAGACTATACTGAAAATTATATAACTTCATTTAATAAATTAAGAGTATTTTTAAATTGTCACAATTAATAATTTTTAAACTTAAAAAGGCAGTAAAGGTAGAATTGTGATTCACTTTTGCTTTTTATAATAAAAATTGGCAAAAATTGAAAAATTTAATTACGAATTGTGATAATAAATTTATATATATATAAAAACTAACTTATATTTACCATGAGCTACAATTCATTGAAAACCCATTTGACTCAATTCAAGACATTACTACTGCGAATGAGTCAAGTCTTTTGGAATCATTAACAGTACATTCATATGATCTGGTCTTTTTTGAAAGATATGGACGCAACTTGTTGATCTTATCGAATTAAATCATAAAAATACATCTCTCTCTCCTATCTGCTTGAAACCTTAATACAATATATTATTATACCTTTATAACCGATCCAACACTATGTTTGATTTTAACAATTCCTTTAGCTTCAGCCACAGCAAGTAATGGGCGAGCGCATTTGGATCAACAGACCACACGCAGCAATATTCTAAAGCGTATACAAAATAATTTATACTTAATATATCATATAAATTTGATTTAAACAATCTACATTGTTGATATCCTAATCCATTATCCAGCTTCATTTGTCCCAATCATCGATTATCCGGATGAATAAAATATATATGACTAGCAACGCAAACAACAAGATTAAATTCACAATCACCTCAATCAAATGGTAAAGCTTGAAGTTGCTTTCCTACAAATGCAGCCACAACCGTCAATTAGTTCCTACCATCACATCTCGGTATTTCAGCTTTTCTTCGTATGAATATACTGCTTCTATTTACATATTCGTGTAAAACTTCGGAAGTATGTTTTGGTAGATATGACAAGTAAATTTTATTAGAATATTACTATTAATATACTCTCTGACTGAAAAAGGTTTAGATTTCAATCATATAATGCGCTAAGCCACTAATTAATCCCATCTAACTCTTAAATTTCATTTAAAACTCTTTTTCTAAAAATATACAGTATGAATGAACACTCTTTCTAGTAGAGATAAATCATGTGACACTAACTGATTTCCATGATTCAAAGTTAATTAAAAAAAAATTCACATCATTACACCAAGAAAGGCCGCGAGGTATTTTCTACGATCATCATTACTACAGTTCTTGTATGTTTCAAATAAGCCATTTAAAGATAACTTCCCGGTCAGAGAAGTTGATCAAATTGGCAATCGAAATACATGGGTAAATCCACCTTGATCATTAAGCACATGTTCGATTCTTTGATCATTCGTACGCTAAACGTTAGAACTTCTTGTCCCTCTAAAAGAAATTTTTAGCAACATTACAGTTCAAATAGTTTCAAAATAAAAATACTGATAAATTATAAATCTCTTTTTATTGGAAATGGGAAATAATATACTTACGAAAACAAAGCGCCCTCTCCAAATCTACTTTCGAAACTGTACTTTCGACTCCTGTTAGTCTACTTTCAACTCCGTCTACTTTTGAATTCACCCGGATTCCACCTGATTTGTCCCCTATTTGACATCGTTAGATCAGTGTTAGGAGAAAACAATCATGCACGCGCGTTACGAATTGTCCGATCACCTACAAGAAAAATAATTTTTTATTTCTGTAAATAGAATAAATTACAAGTTAGGGACAGAGAAGAAAAAATGTCGCTACAGAATCATCTACATACGTTATAAGTGTACGAGCGATCACTTACATCATAATAAATGTCGGTAACAATGGAGAATTTGCTAATGTAACTGCTGCATTTGCTGAGATTCGTGCATAGTCATCGAGATCTGAAAATATTAGACGCAATCAATTGTACCATTGTTCTGGTTACAATAGTTGCCTACTTTCGACTCCTGTTAGTCTTGCAAAATCTGAATGTATAGTACTTCGTAAACTCGTAAACTCGTATACTTTCCAATACACAATTTTCTTTATTTTCATAATATTCATAATTTAATTAATCTATGATTTCTTATAATTTTTAATATGGGTACTGTTATTTATATTAAAAATGATGTGACTTAGCATCCATCTATTGGCTAATTTTCACGAGACGAACAGCCAATAATTTTTACCACAAAATTTGATAAACAGACCCGTAAAAAAATACTACTTTTAAAAGTATTAATTATGTAATAACAGTCAACTCTCCCTTGGGACTGGATAAAAGCGTGCGATTACAAAGGGTGTTCATTTATAAAGAGTAAATAATTAGAGGTCATATATACTTGGGACTGAATCAAAGTGTGCATTTAAGAAGGGAATGCACTTATAAGTAGTGCATTTATGGAGAGTTGACTGTAATACCCTATATAATACATAAATAACTATACAATAAACTATACAGTAACCTGTATAATAACTACAAAATATCCAAAAAAAATACTTGTAACTCCACCATTACACCTATTAAAAGAAAAATTCCAACGTATTTTTAGTATGATACAAATCGTGCTAGTAAATTTTGATAACAATTTGAAATATCACACAATGGCTGTTGCGTAGGAGGTATTTGAATCCGATTTTATGCAAAAGTTATTTTATTATTAGTATAAATTTATTTTACAGATACTTAATATTTTTCACTCAATTGTTTTATAGATATTTGTCGTTTCTACATTATCAAATTCACAGTCTTCAGGCTGTTTCTCTCAAATTCATCATTTATATCTTCAACCGATTGTTATATAACTGTGTTAATTCATCAATAGAAGTAGTTAAGTAAGAATAGCAATGTGACATCGAAGACCTAGTTTTGAAAGCATTCTTCATTATATGCATGGCCGCATATTAATACTACTCCATTTCACGGTGGTACTGCTGAATGATATCCAACCGTTCTTCTACATATTTTTAATTAGTTACCAGCCCGCATGTGCCAAATATAATAGTAAAGTATTCTTCATGGCTTTGGTTTCTTTTAATTCCAAATACTCTTAATACTAAGAAAACAGATTCTCTAATATTAAGTGAAAGATGCCAAGGTCCCAAAAATGGTAACAAATGAGTAATCTCTTTTGGAATATTGAGTTATCCGTTTTTACAATGGCTTTTCTAATGTAGACAGTCTGTTCTATAAACTAGCCACCCGAAAGTTTTTCTCGTCTTTCTACGAACTACGAGTACCCTTTTATTTTCTATTTGATTAATTTTAATATGACTGAAATTGAAGTAGTAGCAATATTTGGTGTTGGGGACTATGTTTGGGTGCCGTGGAGTATTATTATTAATTCTATTTCAATAAAAGTTAAAAACGAGCTGTCCAGGAAAATCCGCAGGAATAGGAATGACATAATTATTCAAATATGCTTGTATTTCAGGTAGTCTGTTGTGCATTTTAAATACATTAACGTTAGTTATATTTTATTTTTAATATAGCCAAATGCATTTAGACTAACTCAATAAAGCTCTTTATAGCATGTTGGTGAATTATTTTAATTAAGGCTGCTTGTTTGACCAAATATTTCGTTAAATTTATTCCCATAGGTTCTTACAGGATATGATGATGTAAGTTAGATATAATTCAATTTATTTGATTAACTTTATAATAATGGATTTTTATAGTTAAATTTATAATTTTTAGTAAATGTAGGGATTAACGAAATTAAATTTCACCCAAGATGATTCATCGTGAACCAGTTTTGAGCGTCGTAATGTTTCTACGTTTGTCATTGAGAAACTCTTCTCATAGATGAATAATTATAAGAATTGTTACTTCTGGAATGATTTACGCAGTGGAAATGTAAAGCCAATAATTAGACATGCAATAGAATCATCATCCAATCCAATATCGTCGTCATCATGTCATCACTGCCAGGACAAAAAAAAAAATTAATAAATGTTGGCAACCGGTGCTTGTGCATTATACTATATACTATCTGCTGCTGATACGACGTTGTGTTATGGATGCCTGATGTAGAATTAATAGCGTTTGATAATTCTAACATCACGACAGTAATCGCAGGTGGATCAACTGCCCCTAGTAAAGTAAGAACTTATGATATGACCATTAATTTTATTTAATATATTAAATGATTTCTGATATTTTAATAACACATCGAATTTAACTTTCTAGTAACGAACGAGTTTCGATATAATTTGTGAATTGGAATTTAATCATTGAAATTTCATATGATTATCGAATGCTTGCAACGGGAATCAAAGTAGAGCAGATTTATTTATGGGTATTCCATATTATATTGTCGACTATATTGAAAAGAAAAAGGCAAAAAGTTCGGGAATAGAGGAGAAAAAGCTGTTGTAAAAAAAAGAAAAGAGGTACTTTTGTTGTTAATAAAAGACTAGTGATCTTATTGGTGCATTAGCAAATGGAAGTAGTTCTCGCGCGGGTGAAAGTGCAATTATTGAGAAATCTATTATCCTTGATTCAGATTCATGTGAAAACACTATTCAACAAGTTTTCAAAAATAGATAAGATAGTAGCAATTTGTGATGACGGTACGATTTGGTGTTGGAAATCGAATATTGATACAAAGTTTCAAGAATTAATCAATTGATAAAGTAGTAGTAAGGAATTATAGACAAATAAATATGCATCACAGTTAGTATACGAAAAGTATAATTAAATTGTTTACTGTGATATTTGAAGGTTGTTAAATAATTATAATATACGATATTTACGGTATATGTAATTATAAATATAATAAAATATCTGTGTCTTTTTAGTTTTCATTATTTATTCCCTTGATTTGAAAATTACAACTTTTTATTTATTACTGAATTAACTTCAACACTCTTTAAGCTAGTATTTTATTTATTCTAATGCCTTAATAATATTTAATCCAAAGTTCTTTCTACAAAATCTTTAGATGAAGAATGTAAATGAGATTATCAAGTGGGTATTTTGAAAATAAACTGTTTATGCTCATGTTCCGCTTTTTTAGTTGAAAATTATTTTTCTTTTTCTATGTTGGATTTTTCTTTGTTGGTTATGACATTTATAATGCTTCACGTTTCTTCTTTTTCGGTCGAAGATAGTTCTTCTCTTACTCTATTAACTGATACACAAATTAATAAAGGTTAAATTGCAAAAAAAGCTTCACTTCTCCATAGTTATCTATTTCTCCAAAGCCTCTTCGTTCTTTTATGGTATCTCTAAGTAAGAATAATTATTTTAAACATAAATAAATCTCTTGATCATGTTCTATAATATCTTTTAATTCTTCTAATTCCAATTTCATTACCGTTTTCATAGTTCATTAACATTGAGCAGCATGTCGCCATAGGCTTTATTTTCTAGACGGTTAATCAATTCTTTTTGATGCCTCTTGTAGCCTCACGCCTCTCAACTTTTTTTGATGCCAACAAGTTTCGGTCTTTTGGAGAATTTAAATCAAAATGATTAAATTAAAAAATAAGCAATATTAGAAAAAGCAATGAATATAATTACCGATCCTTCAGATCTTAATTTTTTCATCCGTACTAAATATTGTTATAGATCAAAGTATGAATCGCCAATACATTAATTCATTATCAATCTATAATAAATTTGTCAATACAAAGAAATCTGATTTTAATATTAGAACGTGTTATGAAAGTTTAAAATCGAAAGATAATATAAAAGTTTAATATACCTATTATAATGATGTTAGTTAACCACATTCCCACATTTTAGATGAAATACTTTCAATTCGGAACTTTTTGTAAAAAAAATAAATTACACCTAAAAAACATCAAAAATTATTAAACATGAAAAAATAGTATAAAAAAAAAACAAGTTTTAAAAAAATTAATACCATTAACCTCTTGAATTGAAAATTAACTAAAAGTGCATGATTGTCTGTTACAAATAAAGGAAAAAAATTATTGATGGAAAGCCCATTAAAAACTAGAAGTAACAATTATTTAAATTTATATGAAATTGTGAACCAGCTAAACGCCCAAATATTCCGGAAATTGTTTCAACTCTAAAATAA